TCCTGTCATAATTGTTACTACACTACCAAATGAGAATATTCAGTTGATCAGGCTCAATATCTTAATATGGGCTAGCAACAAATTATAGCAAAATTTTCAATAAACAATACCCACTGAAAACTTTTCCTTACTCCTATTAAACATTATAACTACTCCTTGGTATAACCTAAAACTGACTTAACATTTGAGTAAGACATAAGGCATCTCATATCACTTTACATCTCATGGCATAGTAAATCTTTTCTACATCAACTATCCATCTTTGAGCTCCCTCTGAATCAAATTTCCCTTCGAATTTTAGAGCGTTGTGCCTAGTGAATGAGGAAAGCCCTCAGTACTCAGTTGGTTCAACTTCCTAGTTTTGCGCCAAAGTCTCTAATACTTGTGTCATGTGTTCTAGGAGCTTATTTGTGGCACCAACATTTCAACCTCTACTAGTCATAACTCTAATCTTGCAATAAACTCAAATATACACATCAATCAATCATTCACACATACATAGATACATTTAGTTCATATAATTCAAACAACTCACACTCAATACATTATGAAAACAAATAATCACTACATATTCTAGTAAAACAAGGATATACTAGCACACAACACAGATGTACTAATCCTATGCTCCAGTCTAGTTTGGATGAACTGCTCTGATACCAAAATTGGAACGCCTTATATTTCTTTTCTCAATATATGATGAATTTTCATAAAAATTTAAATGATAAAGTAAATTTCTTTCAAAAACTCTCTAATGAGAAATAACAATAAAATGATATAAGGTTTATAGAGTAAAATTTCATTAATTCATAAGTACTTTAGAAAAATAAAGATTCTAAAATTTTTATCTGCAACAAAAAGAAAACGTAGTTTTACAATTGTTCCAAAAGAATGCTATAGAACTAAAAATATCCATTACATAACTCAAAATAACTAAGTCCTATAGCAGTTCTCATTCATCCATGCACTGAGCCTGGTACTACTCGTCCTAGTTTCCTGAAAATGTTGTGTAAGGGTGAGTCTCTACCCTACCACTCATATATAACACATATTCATCATAAAACACATCTTATCATGATTAAAGAAAACATCATGGTATTACATATTACAATGTCATATAAAGCAAGTTCTCATCTCAAAACACATAAACACATTATATTCCACATATTCACAATTTCTTTTTCTTTTATCCGTGCTTACTGCGCCCTATAGCCACAATTATCCAATGTCTCTATTCTGAGGTCATACACATCCATGTAAATAGTCGTTGGATGGCTCAATGCAATACAGATACAAAGCATGCAATAGATAACCCCTTAGCAAAGGTAATGGTCAGGAGTCAAGTCAGGAAACGAGTGTGCAGCCATGTGGTGCATTCGTACACAATATTTTGTGCGCAACCCCGAATGTCACTCACCACCCTACATTTCTCCAAGATATCTCATATCATCACTATCTTCCACCCTAGTGTATCTTTGTATTTACATCATATCCATTTCTATCTCATACTCTTTTTTAGTATACTCATATGTTCACATATGTCATTTCTCATATTCACACATATTTTTCATTATATTTCCACATACCATTCATTATATACATCAAACCATGACATATTCACAACACAAATCATTTCTTACATGAACCATAATATATTCAAACATGAAGCATCCATCTCTTTGTATATTTCATATCACAAAATCATATCAACCATCCTTAATTTACCTTATCATGCACTATTTGAACATAATAACACATTTTTACAATATATTCATCATAAAATCACATAAATAATCAATTATTCTCACTTTTCACCAGTTATTTTTTGCAAAATAAGGATTATTCCAAATATAATCACATATATGACAAGATCTATGAGAATACAAGTAATAAACATAACAAAATGATAAAGTAGAGCCCTCCTTACCTTAAGATAAGGATTTCTCAAAGATTTAACCAAAGATTTTGTTCTAAAATCAAAGTTTATCCTAAAAACCATAAGATACCTATAAGAAATTTGAGATGAAGAGAAATGAACGGTAAATCTAGATTCAAACTTAGAGAAATTTACTTTGAATAGCTTAGAATGAATGTACGATCTCAGATCTAAAGAGAAATCCAAATTTAGGATATTTAGGATGAGAGAAAATGGTAGTATATGACTTTAGGTCTCTCTAAAACCTTTGAGAAGTGTGAAAAATGAAGATTTCATCCAAGGCCCCCTATTTATAGGCAAAATCTCGAAAGAAAAAAATGTTGGATACTGTTCAATTTGCCTTACTGTTCATTGCCGAATTTATTATTCATACCGCCTTACTGTTCACGTCGAAATTATTGTTCATCACTAGAATTACTGTTCATGACTGACTTACAATTCTTTTTTTTTTCTTTTTTTAAATTTAAATTTTAAACTCCATCTATATCTATTCTAATCACACTTAGTATCACATAATTCTTTAATTAATACTTAAAAATACTTGGTGTTACACATAGCCCTAGCTATGGACTCAATTACTCATGCTAAAGAGAAAGTAAAACAATCATAAACAAAATCGTAAAGAAAAGCAAACTAAAATGAAATGAGTTTCAGGTCTTCAAATACAATCGCTTGAAGCTCCAAGTCCCTTCAAGAGTATGTCAAAGATCCCGTGCAAGAGAGACAAGATGAGAGGTGTATCGAAAAGAAAAAGATAAGATGATTAATGGAATGCCTGAAGACTCTTTTTTATAGAGTTTGAATATCCTAAAGGCTCTTCAAATTGGACTTTTCGTAGATGAGCATGGTTGTGCTTAAACTTGATACGTGGGTATGCTGGTCAATATGCACAGCCATGCATGTGTTCAAAACACTCCCGTGCTTGATGATAGGGTATGGGTCTACTGACTACTGCGAAGCTCTATTTTGCAACCAATTTGGGCCCAAAACATATCTTAAACCCAATTATGGCCTTTTTATGCTAAATTGTACAATATACACATAAATCAATGTGAAATCCAAATAAAATAAATGCCAAACATCAATATATGGGCTATAAAATAGGGTCTAATTACAGACTTATCATGCACTGTGATCACAGTCAAACATTGCCTTCAGCATTTCATGATGCCTTACATATATATGCAAATGGTCACTGGTTAGCTCATGCACACGGATACAACGTACACAATAACGGGTTTATTAGCCAAGATATAGTCAGGAGTCTAGTCGAGAAATGAGTGTGAGGTCTGTGATGCTTTTGTTCTAATTAGTTATGCATACCACTACGAATAACAATCACTACCCTCATTTCTCTTATATTTTTCAAATCATCTCCAAACTCTATACTCCTAATGTATCTCTATAATCATTGACACTACTCTCTTTCATCACCACAACTAATAATACAATTTTCTCTATTAATCCCTCATCATTCAGCTAAACAATTTGTGCCTAAGGTCAAGCACATCCGGACTTAGTCAAAATTATGCATTTTAAAAATATATTTTAGTCATTCATTATCACCCAAACATCATCACCGACTTTAATAATATCAAAACTTTGATTTATACATATATTTATGAAATAAATAAACACAATATTACCCATTCATGAACACAAACTATATTCAACGTTTTAATGGTGGGGTATAACTTTCCTTACCTCGATGAGAAGATTTACGAGAAAGTTTGTGGAAGATATTGTCTAAAGACCAAGTTTTTCCTATATATTTCAAAGTAAAGCACTTTTGAGAAGATAGAAAATGGAGAAGTAAAAGTCATATTTAGAAGATTGAGCTCCAAGGAAGTTACTTGCAATCAAGTAGAATAGATGTTTGGAGTCAGATTCAAAGATAGTTCAAAGTTTATGAGAGTTTCTCTAAGAAAGGAAGTGAGAGAACAGATAAAAAGTGAGAGAAGTTTTCTTGGCTTACAATACGTTTTAAAACAGGGGATTCCTTAAATACCCTTCTTGGTTTATAAATTTTTGCTTGATCAAGACACGCTCTCCCTGAGTGAGAACACCAAACAGAAATTTTTACACAGGTTTCTAATAATCTCGCCTGAGCAAGACATGGTCTAGAGAGCTTCTCACTTTTCTGTGCCTTCTCACGTGAGCGAGAGAACAATAGAAAAAATATTATCCAATCTCGTCTGAGTGGAAACGTCCTATAGTGAATGATTCAAAAAATTCAGTCTTGCTTAAGCAAGATTTTCCAAGACTCTCAAGGTTTAAATTTTTCTATTTTAAAAGTAAAATATAATAATAATAATAATAATAATAATAAAGGTGATACAAGCTTGAAGTGAAGAAATGGAGAAGGAAAAATTAACACGTAGAAAGGAGAAGAAAGGGATACGGGAACTAACATTGAGAAGAGGAAAGGATTCTAGCTCTGACAAATTTTGGTATAGTTTTGCGCCTAAAGAGACCAGCAATCTTTTCCTTCTCAGCCTTTTCTAATTTCAAAATTTAAATATATCAGCATTGAATGCTATACACGCAATACATATCAAGTTTGCTATATATCACATTTGAGAAGGATGGAATTTGACTAGGACATGACAAAAATCACCTCATACACGTAAATAGTTTTTTTTATTGTTATTTTGATAAATCGTTTTTTTTAAATGCAATTATTTTGTCAAAACCCTAATTTTGTAACTTAATTTTAAAACATTATAAACATAATTTTGGGAACCATGTTTACTATGTTCGAAAATTAATTTCTTGAAAAACGTTGACGACAAAGAATGATGAAGATGGAAAAGTTTAGTAATTTCAATTTTAGTTAGGGGTATTTTGGGGAAAATTACAAAAAAGTATCAGTGGCATGTGAAAGGGAAAAAAAATTTGGAAAAAGCAGCCCCAAGGCAGTTTAGACATAATTTACAAATTATCGACCAAAAAAAGACATAATTACACCAAATGAAATATTAACTCAAATGAAAAGCAGAATTATCAGACTAACACTTGCACTGGAGCTGAGATAAACTTGCAACATTTCTTCCTAAACATTTCAATGCAATAAAACTATTGACCGTAAAAAAAATACACAACATTAGTTTTTGGGGGAAAAAGAAGAACAGAACAAGTTACTATTTTTGTTTGAGAATGAAAAAAAGAAAAAGAAAAAGAAAAAGATGTGTGACAAAAATATGTATATAGCATCTATTTGGGTTCAACTTTTGTTGAAAGTGTGTACCCTCCGCTGTAGTCAAAGGCATTACTACTATCATTAACACTGTCCTTCTTAGTAAAAGTAGAATCAATATAAGGATGTCTCATAGCACCCTTAGAAACTCCGAAGTCAGTGGCAGATGAAGATGCAGAAGTGGAGTTTGTGTTCATCCCATCATTCTGTAAAATGGTTTCAAGTGCTTTCACAACTTCACTCATTGTTGGACGGTCTGAAGCTGATTCCTCAACACATTGCAGTGCCAACTCTAAGAACCTCCCAAATCCTATGAGGGTTGGTGTGTTTCTAACCACTTGATCCATGAGTTCCCTCAAACCATAGTGTTCTTCATCCTTCTTATTCATCAACGTGCGTACCTCGCGGACAATGTACTTGCCTTTCTCAATTGGTTGTCTTGAAGTTATTAGTTCAAGCATAACCACCCCAAAACTATACACATCACTCTTTTCAGTAAGTTGTTGTGTCATGTAATACTCAGGATCCAGATAACCCTGCAGATGTTAAGCATTTCAATTACCAAGTAGTTGTTGCCAAAAAGAAAAGAGAAAGCAACAAAATGAAAGACACCACCATGGAGATTTAGCAACTAGTAATTCTTGTGTCATTAATTATATTATACATGAAACATGGAATTTAAAGTTTGTGGCAATGTTTAACAATTTGAATATGGTTAGCCAATTACATTTGGTATTTGATTGTATATATAATATAGTGCATCTATCCGTTAGCAAGGCCATGCGGTTCTTTTAACAAAAACAAGAACGAATAATTCAACAACAAAAGAAAAGGTGCAATGTCTCTTACCAAAGTCCCTTTAACCTGAGTTGAAACATGGCCTTTCTCACTGTCTGATACTAGCTTAGACAAGCCAAAATCTGCAACCTTTGCTGTCAAATTTTCATCCAGCAAGATATTAGAGGACTTCACATCTCTGTGGATTATGGGAGGGTTGGCAAGTTCATGTAAGTATGCAAGTCCTCTGGCTGAACCAAGTGCAATGCGAAGTCTCCTCTTCCAGTCAAGATGAATGTCAGATCTCCCTGCGACTCACATTGATTGTTTAAAGTGTGTTATTAATTATCTTCTCTTGTAGTTGTATAATAAATGCCAAAAATAAGCTGCACAGATATTTTTGTTCTATGCAAAGATTTTTTAGCAAATAATTCGATCAACAAAACCGAGTTTTAGCATTGCTTTTCCTTCAGAAGATAAGTTTGCTCTTGTGAATGTTCCTATAGTTTAAACTTACCTGACAAACTCTCCCTAAGTGTTCCATTGGGTATAAACTCATACACCAACATCTGTTCCCCCTGTTCAAAGCAGAATCCCACGAGGCCAACAAGATTCTTGTGATGAACTCTTGAAAGCAACTCAATTTCAGTCTTGAACTCTAGGCCTCCTTGCATTGATCCTTGCTGAGCTCGTTTGATTGCAACCATTTTCCCATCAGGGAGAATCCCTTTGTACACCTAAATTCAATAAAAGGGAATAATTAAACATATAGAAGAACCTAGAAAAATGTGAACATACAGGTAATACCTTGCCATAGCCACCAAAGCCTATCTCATTGCTTTCAGAGAAATTGTTGGTGCACTTTTTGAGCTCATCATAGGAGAACCATCTTGCTCCCTTTAATTGTGGCGCACCTCCACTATCCTTGCCACTTGGTGCCCATGATGCTGAAAAAAAGAGATGAACGTGGTATAAACATAACTGATGGTAGGTTTGCTAGTTTTGGAGATTTTGTACACACTGATTCACAAAGTTACACAAGTGATAACAAGAAAATGAGTACGTTGAATAATTACCAAATGGTCTACTTAATCCAATGGCTCTCTCAGCGCGCTTCTTTTGCAGAATCGCATACATAGCTAACCCTATGAGGCTCATAACCAGAAATGTGCAGCCAATTGCTATCCCAATAACAACACCTTTGCTAAGAGAGGCTTTGTGGGAACCTGAAATAATCTTCGGTTAGTTGTATATCACTGTAATTAGTTTCATATTGTTAATGTAATTTGTTTCTATGTTACCTGGAAAAGGATAAGGAAATGCAATAAAGTAATATGGACCAAACTCTTTCGGAGGCTTGTAAGTTTGATTACTCAATTCAAACCCAATTCTTTGAATTTCTGTCCTATTAAAATATTGCCCTGTAGGTGGAAAGAGTGCAAGTTGCACTTGAAGATAATCATCACTATTGAAGAAGGGGTTTTGCAAAGAAACTGAGCCAGGAGTTAGACCCAATTTCACCCATAGGCTCATTTCAAGTGAATGGAAAGTATTAACATTAGATAGTTCTCTGAATGAGGGTCCTCTGAAGTACAGCATTCCTTCATATGGATAGGCACAGTCACAACTTTGGGGGCTGAGCTTCTGATCAGGAGTACAAGATTTGCCTCCACAATTAGCCAAGCTTGTGGAATAGGGTTGTTTAGGCTGTTGCTGAAGTTGGCAGTAATTTGTATTTGAGAGCGCAGTACTGCACACCGGATTTCCTATAAGACTGAGAAGCATGAAGTTGACATCAGAAGAAACGCCTTACAAATAAAAGAGCATACAAAGTATTAGTTTAAAGAATAAACACTCTCTCACATCAATGTATTTCTGTATTGGGAACTCAGTGTCACTGAGGAGACCTCATTGTCTTGCAAATCTACCAGCTGCAATTGGGGACAAATGTTGTCCCCCATATCCAATGTATTGTTCAATGCATTGTTTCGTAGTTTCCTGTGAAGAAAGAATGTGAAAATTATGATGACTACCATTCAGTTGTTTGTAATATAATCTAACTTACTAGCTCTACTTCAACATAAAGTTAGACTGACTTACACTTGCTGTATTTGAGGAATGTCGAAGAGTTTTGATGGAAGAGGACCTTGAAGAGATCCAAACTCCATGATACTAAAGCATAGTTCATGTTATGAGGGGATAAAGTTCCTTGTTAGATTATATGCTATTTCATAAATTTAGGAAACAGGTTACGAGAGAAACTCTTTTCTGTAATTAATAGACTTACAGAGTGGTGAGTGATGGAAGAGTTATGAACCAAGTTGGAGCTTCAGATGGATCAAAAGAGTTGTTACTAAGATCACTACACAAGATTATAAACTGTTAAGAATTATATGAATGATAAAATCATACTAAAGGAAAAGAAAACAGAAACACCAGTTCTTGCAAATTACTTACACATAGTTGAGGGTATCCATTCCAGTTAAGTCAGGCAAAGGACCTGTGAAATCATTATGTGCTAAATTCCTGAAAGGGAAAAACGTTGCATAAATCTCCATTAAATTTATTTTACAATCCTTTTCTATGTTCTTATCAAATTTAAGTACCCACAATTCGTTGATGTTTGTAAGGTTGTTGAGATTTGCTGGGACCTCTCCTGTCAGAGAATTCCTATCGAGCCGACTGTCATAAATTGGAATAATTAAGAAAAATGTCATCCAAACAGGATATGTAGTACAACAGAAATAAAGTGCAAAATGAAACCAAGCAAAAGGAAGAAAGAACCAAGTGAATAAAATGAAATTTCAAAATATGAAGGAAGGCATCACTTACAGAACCTCAACGGTCTTAACTAGTACTATTGTTGAAGGTACAGTCCCACTTAAATTATTTCCATCAAATAATCTGTTAGGAAGAAAAATTGAAGTTAAAAAGTTGAGATTATAAGCTTATAAACAACAAATGATGCCAAAATCAAAAGGTCAACTTACATGTGTATGAGTACCATGTCAGAGCTGAAAAGTTTGGGGGGAATGGAACCTGAAAGCTGGTTCTTATTGAAATGGCTGCATTAAATAGCAATCAAAACATTGTTGATTTAATACCACTGAATGTAGCAACTACCACTTCAGGAGAAGATGAAAGGGACGCCATTATTAACACATTTCTCTTTGCTTCACTAACTAAAAGGTACTCACAAGTGCTTAGCCTTTAAAAGAAGGTCTAATCCAGGGGTAGTGGAGGTTGAAACTGGAATAGGCCCAGTCAGCTGATTGTCTGCCAAGTCCAACCAATAAAGTTTGGAGAGTTTACCCAATGAAGGAGGTATTTTTCCAGTGAAGTTGTTTGAATTTAAAGCCCTGAAAAGTTCATTGACATGGGTATAGTTTTAAATTATTCATCCCCAAAAGGAATGTTCTGAAAGGGGGAGGGGTTCAGTTATTGTTATACATGTAAAAATGCTTTTCCAATTTTATTCTTACAGGAAAGATAACTCTGAAAGATTTCCTATTGCGTCTGGAATATTGCCACTGAAACTGCACCCAGCCAAAATCCTGAAAAAGGGAAGTAAAGCCTTATATGCAAATCACTAGAAGTTGCACTTGAAATGACATTATGAAATTATATGGTTTCCTGAATCATACAAAATATTTAGCTTGCTTAGCTCTCCTAACTGTGGAGAGAGAGGACCTGTTAAACCTCTATTAAATGACAAGTCCCTGCAGTTAAAAGAATTGACATAGTTAATTAACACAGAGCATGCTATGGAAACTTGTTTCTTCTTTTTTATGACAAAAGTTGAGTCAATGTGCTTACAGATCTTGTCATTGAGGCAAGATTAGAAATATGGTGCAACCATTATTGTAGTCTCTAGTTTCATTCCAAAAGGAAAGAGAAAATCATACTTACAAGGATCTCAATTCTGTTAGACCACTTATATCTCCACTTAATTTACCCTTCAGGCCCATGGTTGACAGTCCCCTGTATTTAAAATGCACATGACAAAGGACTTTTCTTCAATAAATAGTTAGAAAAGTGATTAAAAGGATGATGAAATCAAGATACTAAGGAACACAAGGATCATTAATTGCTGAATTATTACAATGAAGTAACCCTTGATTTGTTGCAGGTCACTCCTTCCCAGGGTGCTCCACAGGGATCATCTGATTTGCCCCAGCTGTGTGGTGTATTTTGCCATACATCTTCTAAAGATCGAAGTGCAACAACTGCAACAGTGTATAATCATTAAACAAAGTGCCCTAAGTAAAAGCGCAAGATGGCAGTTGCTAATTTCTTTGAAGGTCTCTCTCAGAAAAACACTATGAGATTCATGAATTTTCTGCTTACTATAAAAGCCAAGGAAAATTCAATTTAGATATTTGCTGAGGAGATTCATCAGCCTAATTTGAGTTATGCATATGAACATTGAGTTCATTATTTTTTAAAGTGATTTTAAATTTATTTATTCATCAATGTATGATTTCTATATCTACGTAGCCTGAGTATGTTTGTACATAAATTTGCTGTTCATTTCTACAGGTCTTTCTTTGTTTGTTTTTGTCTTTATTTTAAAAGTAAATCAAGGGAGTCCTAGGCTCCTAGCCAATGTTATAATTATATGTAAAGTATACAACCGTAAATGCTGGTATTTTAGAGAGGAGAGCAAATGCTACACACAAGTAGAAAAAATGCAGTTCGCAGTTAAATAAGCAGGCTATTGGACGATGACCATACAGGGTTACAATATGTATAAACTAAGGAATTGAAAAACACTTGTACTAAGGAATGCTGTTTTGGGTAGGCAAGATTTTCACATATATTCACACACATAGACATTTATATGTTCCACCACTAATGTAACTTTATTTTCTTTACAGTCTGAACTATTCACATTTACCAGGTGCTAAAACAATTTTCCCCAACAAGGGTATGTGGTAAATAGAATTACTTATAGGCATTGATTGTGGAATATAAGCCTTGATGAACATTTGATCATATACTGCCTTTTCCACGATCCAGAATACAACAGTAACATATGGTAAGTTCCTAGGCCAAATATCTAATTATCTAACTAATATTTTTTTTTGTTTTTCACATAAAACATCATATTTGTTATAAATATATATAAACAATCTTATTATTTGCATATCATGGTGGTATCATATTCAACTCGCAATAGATCAATTCAGATAATGAGTAATACTAAAAGGCAAGTACTGAATATAATGTATTTCAAAGTAAGGAGAAGGGAGGGGATCGTATATGATTGAGGATTAAATATTATTATATGTAGATCATGTTAGATTTAATTATAAAAAAACTAAACATTTTAATAAAACCAAGTTAATGCTTCACTCTATGATTCTTGATAAGCTATATTTAGAAGTAGATGACCCAAAGGGACAAATGGAAAGATTTGGTTAGAATCAAGCAATTTACACAAGTAACACTTTTGACCTATAAAAGAGATGGCACAGCAAGTTACCGTCTTGAGGATCAGTGAATGAAAAGGTAACATGAATTTCAGCCAAGAGTCCCAGAAAGAGCAACACACGGAGGATTGACATGTTAAGGAGAGTTGTCTCAGCTGCTCAAGTATTGCTGATTATTGCACAAACCTTAAAAAGATCAGACAAAAATATTTGCTTCAAGTAAAAGAAGGATAGGCATTGCATGTAACAACATGCCAATACTAAGAAACACCAAAGAGAAATGTTGAGGAGGAAGAGGAAGTGGAAGCAGTCAAAAAATACCAACAGGCTTCAGAAAGGAAAAAGAATGAAAAAGTTTCACTAAGCTGTTTCCTACTCCATTTTATTGATTTTCCTTGTCTTAGAAGCTAATCAACAATCCAATGTTGCCACTATCTATAACATCATCATAGTCTTTCTTACTTTCCTTCTCCAAACTCCAATTTTATCATGAACCAATTAGCTTCTTACCGTTTCCTTCACTCTTCAACAAGTCACCCATGAACAGAATAATGCTTTTGGGTTTTATCACTTAACATATTTTGTCACCATTTTACTTTATTAATGACCAACATAAAAATATCTTGCAACATGCGATGGATTCTATTTCAGTTTATGTTACATCAAAGTTATTGACAGCAGTTGGGTAGGTATGAGATGGTCCCACCCCACTAAATAGTATATAGATCTATCTCTATGAATTGGAAAATTTATACACTCTTTATGATTTTAAATTTTATATAATTATCTGCTAAGTAGTTACTATTTGTTACTGAGAAGGATCTAATACCATCAAGATTCCGCTGGGTATTATAAATTTAGACAGAGGAAAAACTACTTCACGGAAAAACTATTCATATACACTTAATATATTTTTCTATTATAAAGCTAATTTTATAACCGTTTTAAGAAATAAACATGAAATAATTTACGAGTATAATTTTAATATATTATTAATATATATTTTTTACACTATCAATTAATTAAAATATATAATAAATACATCATTTTAAATAATTATTATAAAAAAAATCCTTTATTAATATAATAATTTGTGACTAGACAATAGTATAAAAATATTTTACCTAATTAATAAATTTTAATTAATTTTATAATTTAATAATTAAATATACTTTATACAAGTTAATTAACAATAAAAATAATAGAACTAACTAATCATTCTGGAAAATCAAATTCTCCTATCATTCTCTTAAAGGATAGGAACAAGCTAATCAAGAGGAAACTTATAATTTTTCTTTTGTTCTATTATTTTGATAACTTTTAATATTATTCTATTGATACATATTTAATATGATTTAATAGAATAAAATAGATAAATAAATAAAAACAAATTAAGAATTAGTATAACTCTTAAAAATATTATTCATAGAAAGGTAAATTATTATAAAAATTAAATACCGTAAAATTTGAATTAGACGGTAATATAATATATGTTTATATAAGAATATGATGTTTTTAGTAAATATGATTATGTTTAATTTAAGTCCGTTAATATTTTTATTTTGGTTGTCTTAAATATTAAAATTTAAAAAAAATATGTTATCATTTATTGATAATGCAGTATGCAACTAGATATATTATATTATTTATTCTCTTAATATATTCATTGACATACAACCGAGCACGTTGTCACAAAATGATAACAAAACTATTTTAAAAAAATAAAATTTTATGAAGTTCAAAAATAACAAAAAAAATTCAAAAACTGAAATCAAATATAATCATAATTATAAGTACTTAAAATATATTTTAACATTAATACAACATGTATATTATAATTAAAGCCCACTTGTGTTCGGTGGTTCAATAGAATGTACGTAAGGTCTGAATTTAATGTTTTAAAAATTGAATTCAACCGGCTGCCTGAATAAGTAGAATTTTAAACTTATGTATGTTTCTATTTTTTTAATATTATTTAATTTAATTTAAGGTTCCATAGTAATTAACTATATAAATTTAATTAATTTTTTAAAAATTAGTAGTATTAAGATATAATATTTAACATTTAAGTAATCTGAATTGAGTCAAATAAATTCTGCTGATGGTAAGATACTAAAATTATTTTCTCCTAAACTTATAACATAGTTACAAGGACTAGAACTATTAATTCATAATTAATATAATATAAGCTCAATCTCTCAGTGGTTATGATTAATTAATGGCTTAAGAATATTTTTTATTCTTATAAATGTAGTTGATTTTATTTTTCTAAAACTTATTTTGTTAGTTATAATTTTTATAAATTTTAAGATGATATAAATTAATAAACAACTTTAAAAATTAAAATTAGCTTTAACTGTACTTTTCAACACTTATGTATTTCATTCTTAGCGAATTCAACTAATTAACTGTTTTGCTGGACGAATTTAAAATGTTAATTTGGGTGAGTTGATCAAAATAGTCAACCGTCCATTTCACATCAAATTGGTATAAACCAATTTGGTTTCAATACTTGTAAAAAAAATTGAGCTATTTTAATAATAATAATAATTTTATTATTATTATTATTATTATTAGGCTTAATTATAGTTTGCCTTTATAAAATTAGCATCCTTTTTATAATAAGTCTTTAAAAAGTATCTTGTTAGATTTTAATTCTTAATTTATTTAAAATGTCAATATTTAATCTTTAATGTGAACTTTTTTATGTTAAGTGATGAGATAGGTAACAGAAATTTAACTCATTGTTATTATGTCATTTAAATTTTAAATATTTTATTATTTAAATTAATATTTATAAATAAATCTCTAAATATATTTTAAATATTTATAAAAAAAAATTATCTGAAACTCCATTTTCTTCTTCCTCGGTTACTTCTAATTCCTTCAAATCTCGTTTTCTTTCTCCTTTATAATCTTAATCATTGGCTCACACAACAACTTCAAATTTGAATGGTTAAACACGATGAGAATATTAACCACCATGCATCGATAATCTATAAACAATTGTAGAGGATTCTGGTTACCATTGTCAGGTACTATATCTTGTGACCACAATATCAGCTATGTTCAAGTTGTTGTGTTCATAAATTTTTCTTATTGCATTAACAACATTTTGATCACACAGTTCTGCCCTCGTATCAACAAGAACAGGAACATGGATACCCTAGTTTTCAAGAAATAAGCCTTGGTCCTTAAAAATTCAATGGCCTTTCCAAGACAAACAAGAACATTGCAACTAAAATCAAGAGTTAAATGACTCTTTGAACTAGTGATGAAAATAGGTCAAATTGTTTCACACAAAAACTTATGATTTAACTTTTTTAAAGTCTAAGGTCAATTTGACCTATTTAAGTAATAGGTTTACTTTAAATTTTTTTAAATACTTAATTAATTGAATAAGATAAATTTGAGCTTAAGAAAACATATTTAAAACTCATAAAATTTATAATAATATATTAAATAATTTTATGTAAAAATTATAATATAATATTATATTAAATAAATTAAATTTTAAAATAAATAAAATTTTAAATTCAAACCCTCATTTTTATTGGAGTTGAAAAGTGTCCTTATTACATGTCATTTAAGAGAGAGTCATGTTTACTAGAATCTTTTACGTCACTGTTATTTTATCTATCTTATATGTATATAGTTGATCTGCATTTGTACTATCTTGATTATGTCAATCATTGGTTTGTCTCATCCATCATTTTTTTTCATACTTGTTTATATTATATATAACTATTTTTTTTTTCTTTATGTTGAGGTTAACAAAATATCTTCTCTAATTGAGAGCAATAAAATAATTTCATTTACTTTTGTTGCACTTGCACTTTTGAGTTATCAATCATAATTGAATTAAATAATAATATAATTATAAAGAAGTTAAATGACTTATTGAAAGTTTTAATACGAAGTAGGCTATTAAAAAAGTTAATAGTCTAAACTTTTAAAAAAGTTAGGCTAGACTTAATAAAAAGTTTATAATAGATAATATATCAGACTTAAGCTTCAAAATTATTAAATATATAAGATCTATTTATACAAAGCTTAACTCAGTCTAGCTTATTTTTATCCCTACTTTGAACCCTCACCTAGTTGCATCATACCATTATATGTTGCAAACATTGAGATGTCACTCAAGTTTAATCGATGTCATACTTAGTCAATTAAAAAAAATTAAATATAATAAACTAGGAGACAAATCTAAATTATCCTTTCAAGGATTTCAGTTACAAATTTAAAAGCAAAATACAAAAAATTGGGAGGATTTTGAATGCAAGCAAGAAATAATTTGGTACTACTTGTTGTGGAGCTAAAGGAGCAAGGATGGTGTTTAGTTTTCTCTGGAAGTATCAAGCCCATATATGTTTAGGAGATTATGATGCTCCAAAGATATATAGAAAATTTACTAATCTTAAATGTCTGGTGTGGAAAAATGGTGTTTTCCCTGCATATAAGAATATTTCAAATCAAATAAATTGTGACATTTTAAATAAATTAAAATTTGAATCCTAATAATTTTTTTTTTAAGATTTGTTATAAGTTGCTACTTTTATAGAAATAAAAAATAATTAATCTTTAATGTTATAACTCTGATACATATGAAAAAATCTTCTAAAAAACTAATTAACGTATTCAAGTATATATTTGAGAACAAAGTTAAGCTTCTTAATATTCTATTACTTTAATTATATTTTCTTACATAAGTTCTGCATTAAAACTGACCTATTTGAATTACCATAGACGAGTAATATAACATTTTACCAACTCTTTGATGTAGAGAGCTGTATTATATTGTCCGTTTAAAGGACAAGAAACATTACCATCAACTTAATTTATTAATTTCAAAATTCAAAAATGTATGATTTACAAGTTAGCTATGTACTATAGGAGCTCAACACTTCATTTATAATTTTCATAACCACAAAGAAGATGAAAACATTGCCAATAAATAATAAGTATGTTTTTAATTAAGTAATTTTAACAACTTGTTCAAATTTCAAAATCATTATACTTGTTATGATATCATATTATTTTGTTTTTATTAATTTAAGCTTTTTTCACTATAATTTATCAATTCAAAGAAGTTTCTCAAATGAGTCTCATAACATATCTTACTATGCACAGTCTTTTTATACTTCATGCATTGCAGATTAAGTGCCCTAGAAAAAAAAATCATATGAATGACATTTTAAGATTTTTGACAAAATATTTTTTAATTCAATTCTATCTGAAATAAATAATGAATATAATGATTATTTTTATATTATGTGAGTCAAATTTTTAGCAAATAAATAGAATAAATAATAAGGATAATTTGGTAAAATTATTTCACTAATTAAGATATTTATTTCTCCTATTTTGTATTAAATAGTGCTTAAGCATTTTTATTTATGTCAAATTATTTATCATTTTAAAATATCAATAAAGTATTAATTATTTTTATTATTTGTACCTTTTCATTAGGAGTAACTTTTACTAACTACTATAATAATATTAATATTACTTTAAGAGTTGTTCTTAATTATTAACTATTATAATAACTCTAACATAATTTTTTAATAGAAACATTTTAATAAAATCAATTTAGGTTATTATTGTAATTAATAATTTTAAAAAATATGTATATTTAGCAATATTTAAAATGAGACAGAATAAAGTATAACTTTTCTTAAATTTTGCACAAAAACATAAATTAAATGTCAATCAATTTAAAATGGAAAAGTATTCAGTATTTCAAATTTGTAGGTAATATTAAAGGAAAATATTTTTTGGTACAAAAGTTTGTCACAAAATGCACGAAAATTGGATTAGAAAGACTCGGCATAATTTCAATCAAAGTTAGAAGATTTGTTTTAATTTTTAATTTAATATCTATGTAATTAAATTCATCCACTTTAATTTGGGCAGGTTTCATACAAGACTCTTTTCTACCAAACAGCAGCTCTGTATTATAAACATTAAATAGGTGAGATCCAAAAATGTGATAAGAATCCTATTGCTATCAGTAGAAGCTGCAGATCAAACATTGCATTATGGAGTTGTTCTCTAATAAATGTTAGTTACTTTATTACTTTCTCTCATACAATTACTCTTTGTTAAACAAATTTTAAGAACAATTGCCTAAACAACTTTGCCTAAAATTTATCCCCTTTTCTCTAATGAAAATATTAGTTTTATGGCTGATTTTAAATATATAATATTAATAATTTTTTATTAAAAAAATTTATATTCAAAATACAAATATATCTATTTATAATAAAAATGTACTATTTTTTAAAAATTTAAAATCAGTTTAACGTTAACATTTTCTAAAAAAAAATATAACAAAACATTTTCTAGATCTCATCTTTGAAAGCTTTAAAAAATAAGGAGAAAGAAAAAAAATATTATATTAAAAGAATTTTTTCTTGACACAAAACTATGACTAAAAATTTATTTTATTATTTTATTTTATAAAGTTTGTTAATCTTAATTTTTAAGATTGAGTGTAACATTTAAAAATATATTTTATTTTAAATAAAATTTTAAAAACATAATAAATATATTGAGTGTTACTTTTACATGTTTCTAAGTTTTAAAAAGGATACTGCACCGTTACCTTTACATTTTGGATGGTTTTAAAATCACCTCTTACTGGCAAAATTGTAGTGGAATGATGGTGTTTATAAGAAAAAATCATTATTTAATTTTTATAATTACATTTTAGTGTTTCATTTATTAGTTTTTACAAATTAATCGTAAAATATTTTATATAACTTTGTTAACTCCAATTCTACTAGCGAACTGTTGTTGTCTTAAAAAAGGCAAGTTGTTCAATCTTTTCATTTAGAAAATGCTAAAGTACAGCAAAACAAAAGTCATTGATGTAAAGACCAAAATACAAACTACAGCAAGAAATAATGAAAGTGAAATAGGCGTTACTGTTGTTATTTGCTTCATCCATCGCTTTTACATCCACCAAATGCATAACACATTCTATTACATCAAACATTGCTTCCAGCTTATCCATCATTGACCATTTTAGTTGCATATTGTAATGCTTTCACAAAGGCATATTTCGAATATAGAGGAGTTGGAGTTTCCTAACAATCAACAAGTTTATTATACCCTTCTTCAAATCAAATGAGCAGTTCCTCGGTCAATTCCTTGTCCCACAACCACGTTTTTTGTACAGATTAGAAAAACATCTCTCATCATTAAGGCTCTCAGGTACTTTTACAAAATATAATATATTTATAAAAGGAACTAATTTAAAAATATAAACAAATTATGAATCAAATGTTTAAAAGAGAAATCCCATTCCAAAAACATCCCATTTATGCACATCACTTAATATTCAACATTTGATCATCATCAGTGAATTATCTTCCACTTACACACACCTAGTATTTCATGGCATAAGATCAAATAAGAGATAACTTCTACTCCTATTTTGGCCGTGGCATACTAGCTAGGATTCAAAACGTTAGAAATTATTCATGTGCCAATCGGTACTAAGAAACACTCCAATGTTTCTAACAAAAAATAATCATAAATACTATTAGGGACTTCCTCTTAATGATCCTAATTACTACCCTTAACCCATATAGCATGTCTAAATGTCCCCCTAACCTCTAGTAATTAGGTTGGCTTGATGAAAAAGAAGAAAGGTGAGTGAGCTTGTTGCTTAGCTTAAAGCTCCTAGTTCTAGTAACAAACCCTTAGGTTATGGGGAAAAAATGAAAATGGGGGGTGAAGGGACACTGAGCTGCAGGGATTCCTGGAAGGGGAAATAATGCTTACCACAAGCTAAAATGCAAGAGCGAGCTTGAGAATAGTTAACTCACTAAGGTTATGTATTTATGGGAAAGAAAAGCACAAAACAAAATTTTAAGATAATTAAAAAAAAGAATAAAAACCTGTTCAATTTATTTTTTTAGTCACTAAAATATATCCTTGGCATAAAAAAAAAGTAAATCTAAAAATAGACAATAATAATTATTAAAATAGAAATTAAAAGTAATTAAAGCTTGTAATTTCCTTGTAATGAAAGATTAATTTTAGTTTAAAAGCAATGAAAATAACATGTATCAAAACAATAAATATATTAAAAATAAACATAAGTTAATAATGAAACTGAAATTTATATAAAATAAATAAAGTCACTTTTCTGAATTTGAACCTGCATCAAATTCTCTGTAACTGAATTTTGTACATTGTCCTATGCAAGATAAAAAAAAGGCTCAAGGAGAGGACCTTTCATAATTTTTCTCTTATTTTTTATCTCACACAAATCCCACTGCATCTTTTTCGGTTCTGGAAAAGGATTACTCAAGATTCTCTTGATGATTTCTTCCATTTAGTGGTTATTTTAACTATTCTTTTTACGATGCATGTGGTATTTGCATTCAAGAATTGACGTTGGTCCTTGCTGTATTTACCAGCTGAAATATCATATGAAGGCATCACCAAAATCTTTTTTCTTTTAGAGTGGTAACTGAATAAAATCATATAATGTACTCATCTCATATAAGAACAGAAAAGTAAAACCTTTACGGTCCAATGAATGCCAAAATATGATAAAATAGAGAAGGGGTATGAAAAGGAAGAGAATATACATGTGTACGATATATAAGGGTATGGTGATATCACCCTTTTCTTAGTCATGGGTTCCCACCAGATGTTTCTGAGCGTGGAATAGGTAAAGTGCCCTCAGCTGTTGAGTCAATTCTCATTTTAGTGTGTAATTGAATTGACGTCAAATTTATCAAACATAGATTGATCCCAACGCTATAATTTATACTTCCGTAGAAAAATAATTTAACATGCATGCATTTTGGCTAGTTTTCAAACACACATTTGTTTAGTTGAGGTTATTGAGGATGGTTCTAAAATGATTTTAATGTAAGCTGTTGGGTCCAAAAGGATCAAATAACAAATGAAAATTAAGCCAGCAAAGTAGGACCTTTGATTTGAGGGTTAATACCAAGGGATTGCTTTTTTTTTTTTAACCCCTATTTTTAACTTTTCACACCCTTCTTTATTCTATTTTTTTATTTTTAAAAATATCTTTAATTACAATTTAAAATCTAGAAGTTTATCTGCTACTGAAAATTAAATTTCAGAATTAAAATTTACAAGGTTTTGAAATTATATTTTCAAGTCTATTAGCTACGACTTACAGAGCATAACTTTGAAATTATAATTTAAAAAATTTCATAATTAAATTTTTAGGAATCAATTTTTATTGTTTTAAAATTTATTAAGATCAAGACATTTTTCAAGGCAAAAAGAGAACCTGTTGAAGTACATTATACATACAGATTGTCCTCCAACGAAGTCATCATATCGAGATCTAAACTCGTCTTTTGTAGGATATAAATTCAATCCTTACATAATAATTTTATTATGACAAATTAAGCAATCCTTTTTCTTGTTTATCTAAATTTAAACTCTTCATCCAATGAAAATTTAAATTGCTGAAAAATTCCCATATAACCAACGAATAGATTAATAACAAGATTTTAAATTCATATGACGAAAAGTTCCCATTTCAAATACAAATATGATCTACCAATAATTTTCAAACATAAGAAATTCGTAAGGAAAATAGTTCCTAATCCATACAAATAACAAATATGACCTAACAATAATCTTATTTTGCTCAATTCCTTTGTGCATGGGAACGTAAAACTCAATCGACATTGACTTTCAGTAAATTAAAAAAAAAAAATCAAATTTAATTATCTAATAACGATTTAAGTACAACGATTTACACAATCAACTTCATTTTAATTAATCGTATAATAAATTTTTGTACTTATTATTCGTTTCGTCCATTCAAAATTATCATGCATTTTCAGAATTTCCACAATATTTGAAATAATTGTTATTTATAAAATTTGAAAAGTATTAGTTTTTAATGATATCCTTCTCAATATGTCGCCTAAATTATATATATATATATATATATAAGCAATAAGAATTATAGAGTTTTGGTGATACAAGAAATGTTAAATGAATTTGAACTTGAATAAGCATATTGATACAAATTTTCAGTCCAAATTTGTGTTTTGCTTTATATAATTCATCCTTATAGAAGATAATAAAAAATCGAGAGAAAAATATGAAGTTGTACTTACAAAATAGAATTTAGTAATAAAATATTAGTTGCAGATCATACATGAAGAATAGTTTCTCATAAGATTTTTATTTATTTTGATATATTACATAATTGCCATATAAACATCGTACGATGAAATTGAGGATGGTGCAATTCCAAACTCAGACATGGCCTCCATCTGCCTGAGGCTGATATGTTCGACGCCTAAGCTGAGAATCAGAATTGGGTTGCTGCAGAAATATTCTTGTTGGATCATTAGGATCAACATACCTGCATGTTTTGAATCATAAATCCTACAGTTTTCGGATTTTAAATAATAGTGTACACTCTACAAACTTGACTAAAAAAGTAAAATAAAATCTCTGCACTTTTATACTCGAAAATTACTAGTGTTAGCACAGTCTTTAAAGCATTTGCGCCACCAAATTAATTGATAGAAAATTTAAACGATCACCACATTAGTGCTTCAAAGATTTTTTCACCAAATTAATTCTTCTGAAAGACTAAATTCCATAAAGAATATTCAGAGAACTAATTTAGTGGCAAATTAAACCTTTGTAAGATTAATTTAATGACAAAATCTTTGAAGGACGTGGTGATGATTTAAAACTTTGAGAGACTAATAGTGTGTTTAGTTTTGCATTCAAATGCATATAGATAACTTGTAGCTTTTGGGTTGGATCCACACTTATAGGTTTTCTAACGTGTTTCCCAACACTCTCTGGAAACTCATTTCTGAAGGATTAATAGAATGATACTTACATAACTTTTTTCAAAATTTAATGCATAAACATTCACTTACGCATGTCTCATCATCTCATCAACTGGAGTCTGAGCTGCCTGCAAAGGATCCACATGAGACTGCATCTGGATATTAGAGTGTTGATTATACTGTCTCACTGAAGCAATCAAATTAAAGAAAAGGGGAATGAAGGTTCCACAGCCCCCCTCTTTGAATAAGATCTTAAACGAGTGTGTGGAGTAAAGAGCTCGGTGTTGGTTATCTGGGACTACCTATTGCGATTAAAGACAGCTCAAGTTTTAGGACCAATAATTTTTCACACAACAATAATAATAACAGTAGAATATGCAGAGTCAGGTGGCAAAGAATACAATTTACTTACGGGCTCAACTTGTCCAGAAAGATTGTTGCAGTGAAATATTGGCTGGTTAAATTTTTCACCATGGATGTAAAGCTGCATAAGAATAGCTAAGGATCAGCACGGTCTATATGTCATATACAGTGTTTTTACCAATATATATTTCTCAATCAAAACAAAAATATAGTGGTCAATTACATGTTTACAATTTACCCCAAACAAGTGCGGCTTTTTCTCATCTTACCCCCTTAATAACCAAATTGACTCTTCGGAAGTTTGATTTAAAGAGTAAACATTACTTTCCCAATTAAATCAAATGGAGGTCAACTTTGAGAAATTCAACCTAATTTCATGAAAGTGACTGATCTAAGCTTGGATCTTGGACTGGTGATTGCACTGCTCTAGGATGATGGTTATGTCTCAAAAAAGGGGTTTCAATGGCTCCAGTGACTGAATGCAAAAGAGATTCGCTGAGCGTAACACCCTCCAATTTCTTAATTAGTAATACTAATTTAAATCCATATCTTAGATGATTGATTGTTTTAATATAATATATATTTAAATTTATCTATAGGAATATGGTTAAGATTAAAAGAAGTTAGCCCAACTAAGTCAAGTATTACATAGCCTTTATTATTAGAAATTTTAGTGAACTAGTTATAGGATGGCATGAGGAGGGCATGTGATGCATAGGTAAAAATTGTGACAATTGCTTGCCATAAACTAACTTAGCATAAGCTTAATTAGAAATAAAGGATTAAAGGAAAGGGAAAAAAAAAGGAAGTCACATAAGATGATGTCATCTATGTTAAAGGGGTAGCCGTGAGAAGCTACAGTAATAAAAAGCTAAATTGAAGAAGGATGATATAAGAAATCTACCCGGCCCTCCACATAGGCATGCCCACGTGTTATTCGAAGAAAAAAATATTATTTTAGTAAAAAAGCAAGTCATTAATGTGATTAAAACTGGGCACTTGGTGAGAAGTGTTCCGTATAAATGATCACATGACACAACAGATATATTGTAACATAAAACAATTCCTCTTTCATGAAACTCCAAAACATTCTGCCGCATCATTCTCCTAAGCACTGGACCAATATCCTTTCCAACCCCACCAAAATTCTCCATGTCTCCAAGACACAAAACCAAGACAGACCTACATCTCCTAAACCCCACAGTTACACATCCTTCCCTTAGCCAAATTATCTTCTTTCTTTACCCACCTCACCTCCATTACAGCCAAATTATAGCGGTCCCAGCTCATATCTTTACTCTCATCTTCACACGTCCAACAAAACTAAGGGAGGAGAGTTGTTTCATAAATTATGGAACTATTATACCTCAAGAAATCCTTGTGTTTGAAAGCATTCCTTACCTTCCTACCTTCTAAGGGTTATTAAAATCTAAATTTTATATTTTTAGCTCCTACTCTCTCTCTCTCACACACACACACATATATTATTAAATTAACTTATACTAACTTATAAATCTTTGCATACTGACGTTTATACTTCTGCTCACTAAGTTTTAAAATTATGCAACCATTGCTTACCATAAATATAATAAAAAATGAATAGGACCCACTTTCAGTAACAAGCAACGTTTCTTCCACATTGAATGGTTGCTCCACCTGGATTCTAACTTTTAGTCATCCAAGATATGCAACTCTATATAAGCAACACTGTTAAAGATAACCTTACTAACTTCTAAATTCTGCTCACTGACTTTTAAATTTCTACCTACTGACTTTTATATTTCTTTCAACTAACTTTTATATTCTATTTACTAGCTTCTAAACTTTTGTCATTTTATTTCTTATTTTTAAACTATTTAAACTCATTTAAATATTTTAAAAAAATAAATTAGAAGTAGACTTAGTCAATATAATCAACTATAAAAGCTAAAACTAATTGACTTGAATGGACTATTAAGTTCTACACCTTTATGAGTAGAAAGGAACACATGAGATACTCTCTAAAATAAGGGGAAAATGATTGAAATTTACTGCCTACCAATTTTAGTACAATGACCTTTTAGCAATTTTCATAAATATAAAGGACTAAATAGTAATGTTTTGAAATTTAGAGGGACTAATTTACAAATTTATGGAAATAGATTCGTAAAGCTTAAAATCAATATTACGTGATTAAAAAAAAGTTTGAAATATTTTTAGAAAGTTAAATCAACAAGAAACTGTTGAAAAACTTAATCAATAAATAAATCATCTTATTTTAGCATTAAGTTTAGTTTAACTTAATTATGTAACAGGTAAAATAAAATAAATCTTATTTTGGTTAAAATCTAGCTTTCTTATATCTCTTAAGTTTTAGTTCATAATTTTTGGTTGATTTTTCAAGGACGACGAGTAACTTGTAAAAAATTTCCACAAGGAAAGTTGTGCAAAAAATTCTGATTTCCAAGAATTGTGTGGAATGATGATCTCTACTTAAAATAAAGTGAAGAAGCCATTGCAATTGGAACAATTTTGATGAATTAAATTTCCAGGCTTCTTTCAGTAACAGGAATTAGATGAGCCAAAATAAGGTATAGAAGAAGTAGCCCTCAATGAAGTTCATTGTCATTTCATAGTTCCAAGTTAAGTCTCTGAAGAGATTAGTTCTGCAACAGCACTATACAGTGTAGGCAAGGGGCTGCGATGGAGTAAATAGGCTCGAGCAGGCTCAAAATCATCAGTGAGAGTGAGAGTCAAGAAACTTCTTAGCATGAGCAGAATAATCTCCAAAAAACAAACATAGGACAACTAAGAATCCTTAAAGATATAATTGAATAGATTGAGTAACACCAGGTATAGGTGAGGAACTGAGCATGGGGGATAGTAAGGTACACTTGCCAGTCAAGAGACCCAGATTAACTAATTTGTGTTGCCTGCAGTACGATTGCGTAACTATCTTGACTTCCATTTAGGTTAACCAAGATTAGTTGGAGGTGCACAAAATTGAAATTGAAAATTAACTGCATTATGTGGCATTACCTAGACTATAGGCATAGAACTCTCAATCATTCATCCATATGAACCAATTATTGATGTTTTGATTTCCTTAGCTGTAATTAGTTCCGTTTGAATTAATTTATGATTGTACTCACCCTTCCCTGTTTTGAACTTGTTTTGTATATGAATCAATGAAGATAAATGAATGCCAGTAAACTGGTAATCCATTGCATTGTATTTAGCTTTGAAACAGGGCTCTAGGACTTCAGTGTTATGAATTAGACCATCAAAATCTTAGAAAATGTGATGTATATCGTGTCTAAGATTGATAATCCTTTCGATGCACCCAGGACTTTAATTGGGATTTACCAAGTGAAAATTCCATTCCCTCTGAGAATAATTGTGCCATAATTTAGGCTTTGCTAGGCCCAAGTCCAACAGCCACTCACCCTTCAGATCTGTGGGCCAAACACTAGTCGTGCTTGGATTCATCATGTTTTTCAGGTGTATCAACTTAAGAAGGCAGTGGGAAATCATTATGTGATGGTTGACCTTCCCATTGACTTCCAGGTGGATGCAGTTCTATATTCTCCTACTAAGGTTTTGTGGGCTAGTTCTATTGCTAGGCCGGGTGAGCAGGTGGACCAGGTTTTTATTCAATGGCAATGTTAGATAACAATCAGGGATTAGATAATAATTAGGAATTTGATTTAGATATGCAATTGTAAATTAGGGATTTAATTGATTTCTTTGTAATTAGGATCGATCCTGTTGTACCTCATTGTATGATTATAAAATACAGCTCTTGTGTGATCATATGACACACAACATTCAGAAATCTCCACTCTTACATGGTATCAGTAGTCTTTTGGTTCCTTGATCCCATTCCTTATCAGTAGTCTTATATGGAATTCAGAAATCTCATCGGTCAAACTCAAATTAAACTTGCAAATTAAGTTTAAATCATGTAGCAAATGGCTAACAACTTCATAATTATGTTGCCATTTTGAAGGGTGAGTGATGCAGTTTTGTTTCCATGTTTCCTATATTAATATACATTAACTTGAACAGATTCCAGAAGACTTAAGAATAACAACTGTATGCATATACTGGTTATTTTCAAACTTAGTAACTATCATAAATCATGTCCCAACCAATCTGACAGATGAACATAATAAAACCTACATTCTTAGTAACCAATGAGTTAGCACTTGGCACAGGGTATACAGCCAAGGAATGATAACGGCTTTTTGCCAAGAAACAACAGGCCTAAAACTCTACCCTCACCACATTCACACAGGTTCTAACAGAAGATCTAAGGAGAAGGCAGGAACAAAAATATATAAACCCAATGATTTGGCATCTAGCTGTATGCCATGCAGTGGTTTTGCAAGATCTATCAATGTAAATTTATGGGGTGTGCAAAATATTCAGTTTTATTGGGTAGCAACCAGTTCTACCAGCCCATCTATCTTTTAAACTGGATATTTTGCAAGACAATCAGATCCAAAAGCAATTGGATCCAAGTTATCCGAATTCAGTAATAGGACATAGAATTGCTGAACTGCTCAACTCAGACTCAAGCACCCAGCATCCAGATGCAGCATTAATTCAGAACTTCCAGAGATGATTTGGATCCATATAGGGACTAATACAGAAGAGGAGCTTGCAAGACAACATTTTGCTGTCACTATGTGGATGATTTGGATGGGAAGAAATGCTTTAATCATTCCATCCTCACTGGATTTCAACCAAAACTGGTTCTAAACCAGTTTAGTCAAAATCAATCCAGTTTTGAGAAAAAGAAAAAAAAAAAGGATTGGTTTTCAAACCAATTCATATAAATGCTTTCTAATTGGATTCGGATTGGTTTTATACTACGCAAATCCATGATCAGCCCTAACAAAGCCAACACAGAAAAGGGTCCATTGAATACTCATAGCATAAAAAAAAAAAAAACAAAAAAGAGCACTCAAGGGTGCATAAAAAAGTACTCTATGTAAAACAGCAAACTTAAAAACTGGTAGGATAGCAAATAACATTTTAAAAGGTGAAAAAAGCAGTATAACATACCAAAGGCATATCAAAAGCTACAAAGCTTCCAACTGGGCTTTTAGCAACAAAGACCATCCGTATGTTCGACAAATAGATGGTTCCCTTCGTTTTGAGATGACCTCCATGATTTCTGAGCATAAATGACAAAATTAATGTCCAAGCAATGACTAGGTTGAAACATATTATATAACTGATAAAAGAAACAAAGGAATTGAAAAATACACTAAAGATGATGCATGGAATTTGAAGTAAGGAATGGTTAAAGGAAGAATGAGAAAGAACAAACCCAGAACCAGAAGCAGGGATCTTGTCGACCTCAAATTCGACGCCGTCTCTGGCCAACACGAACATCTCGTTGACGAAAGGGACGGGCATCCCATTAGGAAAGAGTTGAGGATTCAACGCCATTTCTCTCACCGATCCAAATCGCAATTCTCTCTCTCTCCCAACTCAGCTTAAATGCCTTTCTAGAACCTGCACGCCTCTCCTTCCTCGCTCTTTTATTTTTTATCTTTATATATTATTATTACTTTCTATCCGTTTTTCGTTTATATAAATAACATGTCCTTTCTTTATTATTGTTGCCTTTTACGCTTTTCTTTAATAGAAGTGTTAGAAACAAACATTTTACTTCTTTTAATCATAATTTTTAATAATTTAATAATTTTAATTAGTAATTATTAAAATAAATATATTCAACTTTGTTTTGCTAGTACCTCGCTTATTTTAATTATATTTTTAATTGATTAATTTAAATAAAGCGTGTTTTTAATTATTCAAACATCTTTAGTCAGCTAATTTTTTTAAAATAAATTAACTAAATATAATTCTTTTATTCTTTTCCAAAAACTTTTAAATTTTTATTTTATATATAAATTTTACAATTAAATTTTTTTTAATTGAATAATTATTTAAAAGTTTTCACAAGTTTAAAAAGGAACCAAATAAAGTTTGCTGGTAGAAAATATTGCTCTCTCTCTATTTTTCTCTTCTCTCTCTCATTATTCTCTATTGTTGTTATGCTCCATTGCATTTAAGCGTTGTCTCCCTTTTTTTTCTATTACAGAAATCTCAGCTTACTGGTTGTTTCCTATTTCAAGTTATTTTCTTTTCCTCCTTGCTTGTAATTACTCTTTTTGTGTAGCTCTAGAAATTTGTAAAATTTGGGGAATTAAAACATTGATTCTGATAATTTATGAATTTTTTAAATTTAATATGTTAATTATAAGCACCAAATGCATAAATTAAGCGAATGTCTAGGTTAAGAATGATTCAAAATTATTATTGATTATTATATAATAAATAAATTTATTAAAAAATAGTTATTTAAGTTGTTGATTATATTTATAAATAATAACTTTTGAAATAAAATCTAGCTTGAGAGGTTGTATGTAGGTATCCATTTAATTTAATGAAGTTTATGTGCATATTGAGAATAATTTAAAATTATGACGTGGAAAGAAAACATAATTGGTTTATAATATTAGATATTAGTTAATTAAATGGTCAGAAAAAAAATGTGATTTGAGTTATAACTTAAATAATCTATTAAAATTTTAGTGATTTAAGTTGTTAATTACTGTAACATTACAATTTTATAATTCTCATTTTATGAAAAAAAAAATATTATTCTAGTTTAGTTAGAAATAGAAAATAAATAAAAATTTAAAACAAAAACATAACTAATGAAATTAAAAAAAATCAATTTTAATTTATTAATCAGGTTATGTGACCCATTAAGAAGGAGCAATTATTTTTATTTAAATAATTTGTTGATTCTTAATTAGTTAAGATAATTCTTAATTAGTTAAGATAATATATACAAATATTATATTTAATTTTGAAAAAAAAATATAAATAAAAATACAAGTTACAAAATTAGCCAAAATAAAGAAAATAGCTTAAAAACAAGAATGAATTAAAATCCAAAATTTTTATAGTACATAGCATAGTAGAACAGCACCTTAGATGTACCAAGGGGATCCCAAAAAGCCAAAAGCAAAATTATCCAAAAATCTTACAAACTAAGCCTTAAACCAATGTGATTTTTGAAGCAAATTGTGTGGAAACTTTGCCAACAAGTCAAGACCACTCGGAGACCACTTGCATGGTTGTTTCCACATGAAAGGTGAGTTAAAGTACCATTAATTAATGTCTTAACCCATCTCAAAAGAAAGAAGCCAATAAGAAATAAAGGTAAGTCAAACAAGTTAATCTAACAAGATTAAGAATCTTGACCAAGATTAAGATTTAGTTCCAAATCAATTGGAGAGATAGAAACTGTGACAATCTCAACAAAATTGGACTAGAAGAACACTATATAGTAAATAAAAGAAATAGGAAGTAACTATAAGAGTGGAGTGTAATTTGATAAGGAATCAAAAGAATAAGTGCCATTATGGAAACATTTATAGCCTTAGAAATTTCAACATGTGTAGCCATGTGAGGAAGCAACCTTTTGGACCCAAATTGAACACAAACATTAGGCATGTATGACTTGAGTAAAAATGGCCAAAAGAAATATTCAAAAGTACACGCACAAAGTAAGGCCTATTTCACGTGAAATTTGGAGCATTCAATGCAAAAGTGAGAATTCTTCACCAACCTTAATCATTTCAACATCATTGAAACACTTTAAGTAACGTCAATACGCTTTATATGAATCTCAAAAGATTGAGGTTTTTTTTACCCTTTTGGAGTTAATTTAAAAATAAAATATCAAATTAGGCATGCTTGCAAACAAATTCTCTGTCTGGAGTTTGATGGCCACGTGGCAGTAGAGTCGTCTCGTTATGAGCTGATAGTAATAAAGTCGTCAAGAAGAGGGACAACACACGTGCTGACGTGACAGTGTCGTCCCTGTTTGAGCTGACACTAACGTGATGGTGACACTTGTCGTCCCAGAAACTTGTGTCGTTATATGTTAGACGATTTTAGTATCGTCCACAACAGAGACAATTTTAATGCGACCAGTGGATATAAATTTCGATACATTCCTTTGTCCAAATTAGAATGTGTATATAAATATTACGATGAAGCTTGAGAAGAAATGCAAGTGGCTGGGGAAAGAAGAGCAGTGTGGAGCTGGGGAAGGAATAACAGTGTGGAAATGGACAAGAAATAATAACTATTGAGCAATCAGGTTAGATTTTAACTATTATGAATATATAATTTATTTTTAATAGTTATGTATAAATTTTATTTTGAATAATAATATTTATTTTATATTTTTAATGGCTTTTAGGTGTTAATGTTGTAATTTAATTTTTGTTGTTATGTTTGGAAAAAGGCAGATAACATATAATGTTAAAAATAAAATATTTAAATATTTGTAATTACAAATGAATTTAAAAATATATATTGTTATATTATTAAATTAATTTAAAAATAAGCTTGGCTTATTTTTAATGCAGAATGAATGAAATTGTTGTTATATTATATTCAAATGGTAGAATATATGAAGGAAATAAGAGTGTAATTTTTTAAGGGAAAAAAATGATTAAGATAGAACGTGGAATCACACTTGAGATGTTTAAATGGAAGATCCACACAAAACTGAAATTGTCAAGTTGTCACGTAATTTCTAGATTAATTTCTTGAATTTTAGTGGGGACAAATGGTCGATATCATATAACTCTAGATGTATGTGACGATGAATACATAGATTGCATGATAAGAGCATGTCAACACCCACATCATAAGAATGTAGTTGAGATATATGTGAATGTTACGGTAGGTGAAACATCTTCTGTTGTGGCACGTCCATTAGAAATGAATTTATCACTCTCACAACTTTATGAAAGTGATGATGATAATGATGATTATGCACCAAGAGAAGGTAATATGAATTTAATAATTTTAAATTTTTAAAATTGATGCTACAAATGCTATTAATAATATAAGTTTACAATGTACAGATGAAGATGATGATTATGAAGATGAAGAAGATATTTCATTAAATGATTTTTCTGATACTGAGACAAATGATGATTGTGATTCAATGATCAATATGGAGGGTATTGTAACAGTTAGTTTACCGCAACAATAACATGGAGGTATGATTTTTAGGTAGTGATTTTAAAGATATGTTTTTAGAACTTATATTTGTAGTAATGTATAAATTGTTATAGATGGTATAAATTTGACGAATGAATTGTTGTAATGCAGAAACTACATTGCCCTTTTGGAATATAACCCCACATTACAGTCATATTAATTAGGAACACCCTAATCAAGAATTAGATTTTCTTGGAATGAATGAAGCGCAATCATGGAAGGAAGGAGATGCATTATATGTTGGACAACTATTTGATACTAAAGAAGATGTAAGAATGGGTTTAAAACATTATATCATGAGGAAACATCAAACTTTTTTTTATGGTAGAGTCAAAAGCAACAACATATGTTGTGAAGTGTGTCAATCAAAATAGTGGATGTCCTTGGAGAGTTCGAGCATCGTTGCCAAAAAATGCAGACAAGTGAAAAATTATAAAGTGGGGTGGTGCCCATACATGCGTAAATGCTTCAATCTCTCAAAACCACCAAAAGTTGGACTCCAAATTTATTTGCTCATGCATTCTTGGTATGTTAAATTTGATATTAAATTTTAGAATTTTGAAATAGAAATAATTTACTAATTTTCATCCTATTACATCCCAACAAATTTAAAAACTCGCTCATTATATGAGATGCAGGTATGGTAAAAGAAGAACCACCAGTGCCTATTTCATTAATTCAAGAGAGAATTAGTGGTCAATTTGGATATTCAATTTTATACAAGAAGGCATGGAAAGCAAAACAAAAAGCAATAGTTATTGTATTTGGTGATTGGGACGAATCTTATGCTGCATTGTTGTGGTGGCTAGAGTACATGCAATTACATGCTCTTGGATCTGTATACAAACTTGAAATAAATGATTATGTTGAAGGTCACACCGTGGATAATAGATATTGAGTTTTTCATCGGTTGTATTGGTCATTCAAGCAATGTCATGAAGCTTTTAACTTTTGTAAGCCTATAATACAGGTAGATGGAACATTTTTGTACGATAAATACCGACAAACTTTGCTAATTGCTACGACTCAAGATGGAAACAACTATGTGCTTTCCATTGTGTTTGCCATTGTTGAAGGAGAAACCTTATCTGCATGGGAATGATTTTTAGCCATGATTCGTATACATGTGACAAATAAGGCAGGGCTATGTTTGATCTCAGATCGACATCAAAGTATAAAGGTGCAGTCTCAAACCCATATCTAGGTTGGCAACCTCTAAATGCTTATCATGTTTATTGCATTCGTCACATTGCAAGTAATTTCAATCGACGATTCAGAAATACCATGTTGAAGAAGAAACTAATTCAATTAGGTACGTATTCTTCTCATTTGATTCATTTAACTTTTATTAGATTTTGAATATTTAACCAAAGCATTCAAACTTTTTCTGTTAAATGCAGGATATACACCATTAAAACATATTTTTGAATCTAAGCTTAATACGTTTCGATCACAATTAGCTAAAATTCAGACTTGGATAGATAATATATCAAAGGAAAAGTGGAGCTTGGCTTATGATGATGAAGAATGTCGTTATGGCCACATGACTACTAATTTACCTGAGTCTGTAAATAAAGTTTTGAAAGATGCAAGAAACCTTCCTATTACTGCCTTGGTCAACGCTACATATGCATGATTGGTAGAATATTTTGTGAAGCGTGGTGAAACCGCAATGCATTAGGTTAACAATGGAGGAAGATACTGTCAGAAATTAATGGAAGCTATGGAAAAAAATCAACAAGAAGCATCTTCACATCAAGTTCGGCGGTATGACATTCAAAGAACAAGGTTTGAGGTTGAGGAGACTTTTAATCCAGTGACACAAAGGGGTGGTCATAAGTGGACAGTCATATTGTCCACACGTTATTGTCAATGCGAGAAATTTAAGGCATTCAGATATACATGCTCACATGTCATAGCTGTTTGTGCTCATATGAGTATAGATTTTTGGCAATATGTGGATCCTGTTTATACTTTACAGTATGTTGTAAACGCATATTCATCTCAGTGGTGGCCTCTTGGAAATGAAAATAATATTTTACAAAATAATGAGTGAAAGTTAGTACCAGATGTAGAAAGAGCACGAGGTAAAGGAAGACCAAAGACTACTCGAATTAGGAATGAAATGGATTGGGTCAAGTCACAACCACGACAAAGATGTAGATTGTGTCAACAACCTGATCATAACCAACGTCAATGTCCTCAACTTCATGATCGTAATCAGCAGTAGATGTAAGAACATGTTGTTTTTCACGACAAATTGTTGTTGTTAATGTTAATAATGTATTAACGTCTCATGACAATCATATTAGCAGATGTATCTTGTTGTTAATGTCAATAAGGGTGTAACACATATTTCTTTGTTAATGTTTTAAATAACTTACAAGTATAGGGTAATATAGCAACATCTCTTATATATAGATGGAGGACGTTCTAGTAATATTAATAAAAAGTGCAACATCAAGTTAATAAATACATAAATAACAACCCATCAATCTAAATCCAAGGATTGGTTCGTAAGCCCTGCCTTATGAGGTGTGAGTATGCACTGTTGACGATGATCTCGTGCTTCATGATGAGGGTTCTGACACACATCTTGTACGTCTGCATCAACAGCAACAATAAAATCTGCATTAAGATCAATGCCATGCTCCGAACCTACTTGGATTGATGATGTTTCCCAACCCTGCCCACTCTGATGACCTCCTATAGCCGGTGCATCAAGTGTAAAAAATGATGGCTTATATGGAGGAGGTGTCATGTAAAGGCTACCCTTAGGGACATAATATTGACCACCGCTAAATGGAGATGGAGGACGCTATGAAGTGACCTGTGATGCGTGAAAATAAGATGTCTAAGTGGCCTAGGAAAGGTTGAAGGGAAACTGTGGTGGGACATAATAGATGTCATCTCTGCGTTCTAGCAAAGGGGGAAATGACCACTCTGTCGCCTGCAAATTGTACCATGAGGAACATGTAATGCAAATAAGTACAACATTGTAATATGGTTAGAAGAAATTTTAATATGTATTACCTTCACTTCTGTTCGACGATGTTGCAAACCTTTTCCTTCCTTACGGTCTACTGGTTGACCAATGTCAATGGCTGGATCAGCTGGATTTCCACTCTGAATAAGAGGGTCAAACGATGAATCAGGCTCTAATATGCGCTCTTGCTCATTCTGTAGTGAGAGCATGGTCTCATATAGCTCGTTTATCTCCTCAAATGAAAATGAGTCTTTACCATCATTACACAAGTAATATGCTCTTTCATGAGCATCTCCCTACAATGAGACAATATAAACCTTTAACAAATAAGAAATATAAACACAATCAAATAGTGTGTAATTTCATTCATATCACTTATAAGTAATGCAAATACAACTACATTCCTAGTCATCCATTGTTTGGTGTGAGTAATGTACCATCGCATATATTCAAAGTTAGAACTTAATAACCCAATCTGAGGATCATTAGTCATTACCCAGGCCTAATGCATGTCCCATAACTCCACTATGCCTTTGAACTTTGCCGACCAATTCTTACCAGTCTTCCCTCTTAAAGTAATGTCATGTAGTTGGTCAGATTGGTATGGAGCACGAGGAATATGTTGAACCATCCCACATTGCCGCATTATACGGTCAGGTTGGTGCCACTCACAAATTTGAAAACATATAAGTGGCACAACTGACCTCCAAATATTTGATGCTTCAATGCATATGGCGGACAAAGAATTCATCAAGTCCATACTATACGGTTGCCATACAATCTGCATATTCAAAGTTGTGCAAAATAGTTAATTAGTTGTGAATATTAATTAACCCGTCATGTAGATGTTGTATCAATGTATATTAACAAAATACCTCATCACGCTTCAGATGATCAAACTTATATCTGTAGTAAGTGAGATCTCTCTGTCCTTTATTATAACTCCGACTCACTAACCACCTACAATACACACATATAAATTAAAATCATGCTGACACAAGTTTGAAAAGTAATTCATAAATTACACATACAATAATTCAAAACATACTGTGCACCGTAAGGAAGATCCAGTCGTGTGTGGAAAGGATTATTAGGCTGCAAAAATGGAAACCTATCCTATGCCTACATCATAAGTAGTGAAGTTAATCCTCCAATACCAGAACGCTCAATATTAGTCGATACTGCAGCTCCCCAACTGTACTCTCCTGTGATAGTAAAATCCTCAACCAATGGAAGGTACCTAACTGGGACCCTACTAGATGAATGATCAGCCAACATGAAACCACCTATTAACCTCAGAATATAAGCTCTAGCAAAGCGAGTAAGTTGAAGTTCATTATGATTATGCATTGCAACATGTATAAAGTGTTGGTCCAACCAACTTAACTTCAAATTGCTCCCTATAAATGCATCATCAGGTGGCCTAATACCAAGCAAGTCCTCCACAATTTGTGCCTTATTACCTCCAACAGCTGCAATGACTGCCTTTCCATCTATACGAAGCCCCATCTGAATAGGAATGTCCTGAAGAGTTATAGTACACTCTCCAGGAGGCATGTGGAAGGTATGAGTCTCTAGCCTCCATTTTTCTACCAAGGCTGTAATAAAATGTCGGTCAATAGGAAAACATGCCAACTGAGCTACCCCAGCAAATCCAATTAAGATAAGATGAGGAAGTATCTCCATTAGAACCCCTTCCATGCCAGCCGGTATGAAATGACTCCTTCTCACCTTTAAAATTGGGTGGTCACGTCCATCCCAAATATGCTCCGATACATGAACAGACTGATACCTCAATAATGAACCATCCTTCGGGTCAGGATTTAAAACCCTACTCCGCAACGAAAATGATGCCATCTGAAATTAAATTTTTCAACTTAAACTTAAATTATGTACGTTAAAATTAATAATTTAAAAATTCTATTAAATTTATCATACAATAATTTATTATTAGTACATGGGTTTTATTACAATTATTTAACTCTAACAATTTCAAAATTTCAAATTAACTCCAAAAATTATTTCATTTAATTTTTAATTTACTTTTATTTATAAACAAAACATACTTTCATGCACTAAGTTCACTTTATATATCAAATTTTATAATTATAAAATATAAACAAATACATAATTTTAATCTTCCTAAATTTTTTTCTGTAATTCTTCATATTAAACCACAAAATCATTATTTTATTAATTTCATTAAAGTGTTCCCTCACAATACTTAAAGTTTACTCCTATTTAAAGTTTAACTTCATTATTATATTAATTATTGAAAATTTTAAACGGTTCAACAATTTCGATGGATATATATATATATATATATATATATATATATAAACATTGTTTCTAAAATTTTGTAAAAGTTTTTATGTTAAGGATTGGCAAAAAAAACATTCAAAGATGTTTTATTTCTTGGATTGAAAGGAATACTAGTTTTGACAATAGTTCTCACAAGTTATCTAGTAATATATAATATTCTTTCCTCTTAATTTATCAATTAATTAAAATAGAATTTTTTTAAAATTAATACATATTATGGATTATTATAATTTTTATTTATTACATTTTTAAAAAACTAATTATAAATAATAACACATATATTATATAATTTCTAATACAATTTATCTAAATTATTATTTGTTTAAGAAGAATAAAATGCATTTTAAAACTAATTTTATACCTTATTTATAAAATCCTTTCAACTAAATTAGATAAATTATAAAATTTGTAAAAAATAATACATTATTATTTTTTAGCAAATTAATTACTACATTCTTATTTAAAATAAAACTTTTGTTATGTTAACTTTCATAAAATCATTATTTTCTTGATTTATTATAATTATTCAATAATTATTTTGTTTCTTAATAAAAATATTGTATTTATTATATCTAATATTTTTTATTTCACTTTTTTTTTATATATTAATCTACTATCAAATAATTAAAATTAATTATTTACATTAATTATTTAATTTTTTCACTGCATTCTACATATATTTTTCATTATCATGTTATTTATTTTTTTCTAAACTATATATTTATATATATTATTCTTTCCTCTTAATTTATCAACTTATTAAAATAGAATTTTTTAATTTAATAATTAATACATATTATGAATTACTATAATTTTTATTTATTACATTTTTTAACAACTAATTATAAATAATAACATATATATTATATATTTTTAATACAATTTATCTAAAATATTATTTGTTACAGAATAAATAAATAAATTTATAAAATATTTAAAAACTAAAATTAATTTGTGCACCTTTGCAACTTTGATATGGATTTAAAGGAATCCTCTTCTTCACCAGCACCACTCACTCAGGAGCTAAGCATTCACCCACAATTTCATCTGCACCACAGATTCAATATTACATACATGCAATTTCATATTTAAAAAGCAAAATATATTCAAAATATTAGTCTCATTACCTTTTAATAATTATTCACTCAAAAACCTTAATACCAGAAGCCAACAAAATGCTAATAAATGCTGTTTTTTTTTTTTTTCCGGCAACGATACAGCCTCTGCAACAAAATGCAAAACGGAGAAGATGAAGGAGAAAGAGAAGAAAGAAGAGAAGCTCGCGCCCAAACGGTCAAAATTCTCTGCTATGTGGACCAATGAAAGGAGAGTCGTCCCTGACCTGGACGACTGTTTTGAATCGTCACTGACCCCACCGACACTGACGTCGCCTCTAACTCAGACGATTCTGTAGGATTTCTACACGTGACTTCCTTCTTTCTCAGCCGTCGATTTCTTTTTAGTAATTTCAATTTTTTTTCGTTTATTTGGAACGTGTCCCACCAAGATTGGTGTCGTCTGTTAACTGGACGTTTTTTCCTTTTTGGTGTTGTCCTTGTGCTAGACGACTCTACTGCCACGTAGCCATCGAACCCCAGACAGGAAATTTATTTGCATGCATGCCTAATTTGGTATTTTTTTTTCAAATTAACCCCAAAAGGGCAAAAAAGTCAAAAATTGACTCATATACCAACCGACCTTAAAAATCCCAAATAAAGCAATAAACTCTATCTAAACATAACCTTGCACCAACCAATTTTCTTGCTTGAAGATTAGGAGCATATGGACTTGGAGATCAAAAGGGAGTGTGGAACGCTTTCAATGGAGGGAAATAGAACCTACTGAGGAGTGGAGAATGATTTCACAAAGAAATTTGCAAGAGTCTTGTCACAACAATCAAGTCATGGGAGAGTATTGATTTATAACCTAAGGGAATTCCATGCTAAATAGATTTTGAGTCAAGAGGAACCCTTAACTCTTCTTATTTAAAGATAAAATTGTGTAACCTTGGTTAAATTTATGATGAAAATGTCATTTGAAAAAGAAAAACTAAAAAAATAACTAAAAACAACAAGATTAAGTGTTTTTTTTAGAAAAATTCTAAAGAATTGTAAATGGATTATTTGAAGGAATTTTTATTATAAACTTTCTTGATATGTGTTATATCTACGTTATAATGATGGTTATTTGTTAATTCATGCTTTGAAATATTTTAAATAACGACTTAAAGTTTTCTACAAGTTTTAGTGTTTTCTGTGTTATGTGACTATGTATACTGTAAATATTCCATTAAGAGTGTAATATGAGTTTTAATTTTTTTTTTTATTATATGTGTGGTATGAATATGGTGTTATCAATGTTAGCTTTGATATTTGATTATTATATCTTTTTGATTGCACGTAAAAAAAGTTTTGGCAGACTTTTAAAATAGTTTACTATTTTGTGTGTATATGAATATCTTTTTTATGTTATTTTGCACTTAAGTACTTTCTAAAATTCACGAAAAATTCTATATTAAGCCAAGGAACATGTTTTTAATAATTATAAGAACTTGATGGAATTATTTAAAATTAAAAGATATTTTTTCTTGAATTGTTGGCAAACTTTAAGTGAGCTTTTTACAAAAACAAACTTTAAATCAAAAGTGATCATGCAAATGAGGTATTGAGACCTGGATCTATTTTTATAACATCTGAACTGTGACTCACTTGAAATTATTAAAAATTCATTGACTAAATTTGAAAATTTGGACCATAAATAAGTAAGACAATGACTTTTGACTTTGAAATAAACCTCAATTATGCATGAAATGTGGACTACATGAATTTGGAACCACTTAACTAAATTTGAAATGTTTAAAGTCTAGAAATTGCTCCAGAAATTTGAAGAAGGACATGTCATATGAATAAGTTTAACTAACTTGCAAAAAAGAGGCTTTTTGCAAAATAATAAAGGTTGAGGACTGAACTGTAAATTTTGTAAATTATATGTATTTTTTTAAAATAAATTTCAAAAACATTATTCTTAAATATAATACTGTCTTAGGAGTAATTACCCACTAGTTTCGCAAAATTTAGAATTATAATAAATCAGTTGTGAAATTTTCATTAAATTAAATTGTGGTAAGAAAATGGCGTTCCATGCATAGCATAGCTAAATCATGATTTATTTATTTTTTAGCATTTTATGAATATTTGAATTATTCTTGTATATTTCTATAAACATAAACATTCCAAATAAAATAGCTTCACTGATTTGATAAATTTTGGATCTGTAGCTAATTAATACTGATTTTTCTACTAATCTAATATTAGAAAATGATTCTATGGCTAATAGGAGAAATTGTGTTTTTTTTTTATTTCTAATATTTTTTATAATTTTGTATGAAGTTACTTAAAGAAAAATAACCCTATTGATTTCATGATTTTTAGAGTTGTATTGAATGAGTTGTAAATTTTACAATATGATACATGAAATTTAGAAAATTGAAAAATTGACAATTCTATAATATTGAATATTTCTCTTAAGTCGTTTTTTCTTGTAAAAATATTTTTATTGTAATTTTAATTTTGATTTTGGTTTTTTTTTTTTACAATATATATTGTTATTTTATTTTGATTGTATAGAAATTTATATTTTGGTTTTACTAGAACCGGAACGAAGATCGAAAGGTATTGCAATTTTGAGAATGAGTGAAGGAGAAGTGTAAACTCAAAGATTTAGCAAATATATTACTATAGTAGATGCGTCCTAAAGTATATTATTGTGCCCTTTTCGTTTAATATGGTAATTTTGTATTAGAATAAAGCAGATACACCTTATGGTGAATAAATGGTCTTATTTAATTTGCTTCTTGCAATCAAAGAACTTAATACAAATTCTGACAATTGGCATCCAATACACAACCTGTTCAGAGGTAAGATTTGTTAAGGCTTATGGCATTATCATGAGTTGATATTTACTTGGTTGGGTGGGTTTTTTTCTTTGCAAAGAACATTACAACCTTTGAAGGGAACAAAGACTTCTTCTTCTTCTTTTTGGTCTTTGTTTCTGAGGGAGGTTCAGTTTCAGTGTTATTAGAAGGAACTATTCCTTTTGAGCTCAATGAATCATCATGTACAGGCTCAGTAGGAGCAGTAGTCTGGTCATTCAATTCACAAGCCATCTTTTGCTGCTCTTGTCCAGCCATCCATGTTCTTAATTCCTCTTCAACAGCAAACTTTCCTTCACTGGCCTTCTCAACATTCTCTGTTGCAATCTTAAGAGATTCCCTTCTCACAGACAACTCTTCATTCAGTTCTTCTAACTTCTCCAAGCTTCTGAACTCTGACTCTCTTGCAATCTTAATCTGAGAATTAGCAGCTTCAATCCTTGCACTGGCTTGCTCCTCTGCCTTATAGGCTCTCTTACTGAGCTCATGATATTCATCTAATGTGAGTGTCACCATTGAGGAAGAATCATTGCCATTCTTGTTCTTAGCTGAGTATTCACTCTTCTCCAATGCTGTGATTGCATCTCTGGCCAGCATCTCAGAAGCCTTGGCTGCTTCTATCTCCTTCTGTGCTGCCAATAAACTACATTCCAAAGTAACCGATCTGGCCTTGGCTTGTTCAACCTCTTCTTGTGCTTTAAGCAACTCTGCCTGAGAAGCCTGAGCAAGTGATTTGGCCTCATCAGCCTCTTGTGCTGCTTTCTGCAGTTTCTTTGGCAACTCGATCATCATCTCGCGCGCTTCCTCCTCTTTCATCTGAAGAAAAACGGCTGCAGCCCTTGCCTTCTCCAGTTCAGCTTGGAGATTTACAACAGCAACTGAAGCCATTTCCTCATTTTGCTTGAGGGTGGTCAGAACTAACTTCTCCTCTTCTAGATCTGATTTTAGGGACACAGAAGCCTCCCTCAAGCTGTTAACTTCAGCAGTTGCTTTCTCTATGTTCACCTTTATTTCCTCAAGTTCCTTTTTTCTTTCTTCATAACTTTCCTCCTTCAGTTTTGATTCCATATATGATGCTAATTCAGCTTTCAAATCATGGAGTAAAGAAGAAGATGCTTCCAATTTAGATTTAAGAACCCTGGCTGACAAAACTTGCTCATTTAGTCTTTGGAGCTCCTCTTCAGCTTGCTCAAGTTCCAGCTTCAAATTGTGAGACTCTTGATCAACAACTCCTGATGTCTGTGCTTCTGCTTCCAATTGCGCGGTTCGCGAAGCGTCCAATGCCTCCTTTGTTACAATTAACTCAGCGCTCAAATCTTCCACTGCCTTTTCAATCTGTTTGGATGCTGCAACAGCCTCTTCTGCGTTATTGATTGCCATATCCCTTCCACTTACCATAGAAGCATACTCCTTCTGCAGTGATTCCAGTTCTTTCTTAACGAATTCCAGCTCAGAAACCGCGGCAGTGTGCATGGCTTTTTCAGCCTCAAGCTGTACCTTGGCTTCAATACTAGCTTCATTTACAATGTCCAGCTCCATCTCTTCAATTCTTAGAATCACACGTTCTGCCTCTTCTTTTACCCCAAGCTCATCTTGTTCTACCCTGTCTAAGTTCATTTTCAGTATTTCTATAAGCTTCCTAGTGTTTTCCAGTTCCTCAGCAGTTTGTGTTCTTTCAAAATCTTCCCCTGAAAGCTTGCTTCTCTGTTCATCCACAAAAGTTTAAATTAAAAATAGTGGGTTATGCATGCCCTAAAGCAAAGGGAAACAAGTGATGTAGATGAAAATTTGTTACTCCACTTTGCAACCACATCCCCTTCAATTGTAAATGCACGTTTATCTATAAGGTTTTAAGGGTAGTAGCTTTTCATTTTTCTTTACACAAGGTACTTTTGCAAAGATGCAAATACTGCTAAACCATATAGAAAAGATAGAGGTAAAATACAGTAGTTGAAACAATGTATATACCTCCAAACTCTGGGTTCTACGAGATTTCCAATCAATTCTTCCTCCAAACTTGGACACAGCATCTTTGACAGATTCAAAAGGTACAGCTGTGTCAATAACATTCTTAGAAGGCTTAGGAGAATCAGCATCTCCTTGAGAATCGATTCTTCCCTGAGAGGAAACAATTGAAGTTTAATTAGTATTAGTTTCTATTGTGATTGTTTTCTTGTCACTAATATCAGATTCCGCTCATACCCAGTTAGAATGATTGATTATTTGGTGAGTTTATTGATTGAGTAATTAATTACCATAGGGGATTCTGGAAATGGCTCCATTGAGGATTTTCAAAGTGGCCCCTCTTCAATATTTCTCACAGGGTCAGACTGTAGCAATTGGTGTGCCACCTAAATGAATTTCAAGTGATTAGAACACAGACAAGTAAAACTATGTCATGAAAATATTTACAACAGATACTGTTTATTCAATTCATGGTTCAATTGAGTTTGAAAATTTGGTATTCCAAATGCAAAAGCAAATTTGCTGATTCATTGCTTTCAAGGCAAAAATAGGACTGATATCTACATGTGGATGTCATTGAACTAATCGTTATCTTTAGTTCACTGGCTCCATAAGCCAAGCCGGTGGCTAAATAAGGCCTATAGTTTCTACAAAATGCAATAAATAATAGAAAAAAAATAAAAGGATTGACGAGGAATGGAAAAGTAATAGACAGAAAGGGAAATTAGATTATTGTTTGACACAACAAAAGTTGGTATGCATAAAGCTGGCCTTGGCTGTAATTTTCTTTAATTTAATGTGTGTTGCCTAGATAATCACATAATGACTATTTCGTGTATAAAGCACTGAAATAATAAGAATATAGAAAAAATGAAAAAACAAATAAAAAAAAGAACATTTCAAAATACAACCTCAAATGCAAACTGACACGTATTTACATAAATCGGATATAATAAAGTTATATATATATATATATATTGTTATACAAAACTTTCACTTTTTGTGTATCTTAGTTTTTTTTCTCTCAAATATTAGCAAGACTTTATGAAAACTGGAATGCCCTTATTTTAATCTGTTTTAACGTTGATTTGATTACTATCACGCCATTCACCCACAAAACAAAACATAAGAAAATTACTTCGTTGTCCATCGAGTTAAGTAAAAAAGAAAAAGAAAAAAATCTCCAAATTATTGGAAGAAATTTTTAAAACTACACCTCAAATCAGCAAACGAAAACCAATATTAAAATGCAAAATGTTCTAGATGAAAAGATATACCCATGACGAGAGAAAATGATATGAAACCATACACATCGAATATACTAAAAAATATAGAGCAGCACGAAAAGAACAATTAGAATCCAACAAAATAAAAGTAAATCAAACATGGACTAGAATAGATTAACTCAGTAAGAAATTGTAATGGAAAACTCAGAGAGAAGAGAAAAAGAATGAATACAAGTAGGAGCAACAAGAGAGAAAAATGATGGTCCTACAATAATATGGTGGAAGGGATTAATTGATGTTGTTAAGGTGATGATAGAGGTTTTGAACAAACAACTCATAATATTGTTTATAGCCTCTCCTTTCTTGTGTTTCCTAAACATGCAAAGTCCCCATAAACTATCGCCTCAAGGAGAAGAAAATGATGTTCAAACACATGTTGGGTCATGCTAGCTACAAGCATTGTTCGGTTGTGTCATATTCCAATCCTCTTTTAAATCTTTCGTTCAACCAATTCTTGACAATCATCTAATTTTAAAAGCAAACTTTTATATGGAAATCGCATAGCATTGCTTAAAGTATAATGATAAATTAATATTGCTATGAGAAGGAAATTATCATATATTTGTAACTGAGTATCTACAGAAATATTTTCTTATTTACACTTTGGTTTAGTAAGTAAAATAATCCTACCAAGGTACTTCTTTTGTTAATCGCCCATATAAAATGCTAAGAGATTGTTCAGCACAGCATAAAGACGTTTATAAACGTTTGTGCGAAATCGTAAGAATGACTAGGCTGTAATTCTCTTGTATATATTAACTTCATTTTAACATGTGTGTTACCCAATTGAAAAATTAGATTATGAACATATCGTTCTAACAGCACCAAAATTATAGTCATCACATTTGTAAAGTGAAGAAAACCCAAATAGAAATTGAGAAAACTCAGAAGTGCTGCCCCAAAAGCTGTGTATCATGTCTACATGAACCTAACATATTATAAATAACAACCTTTTGAAAGTCCTAATACGCTTCAAAAACAATTGATTCAACATTTTCATTTTTTGTTCTTGTTTCACTCATCTTTTTCTCAGATATTTGCAAGACTTTATTATTCTATTGAAACCACCAAGTGTCTCTTTTTACCATTGATTTGATAACCACCAAACAACCTTTCAACCTAAAATAATGAATAAAAAAAATAATTTGATGGTGCACCAAGTAAAGAAGAAGAAAATATTAAAATATCAGCCTTGGCAAACAATATTATTGAAAGTTGATACCAATTCATTGGAATTATTAAAAAAAATTCATCACAACAACATAATGTTAAAGTTATACTAAAATTAAATGGAGGGAGAAAATGAAATGAAACCACATATACATGTGGACGAAGATTATGTTGGTGTTATGAGAAGAACAAGAAGGCAATAAAATAAAAGTGATTGAAACCTGACGAAGTATTGGACAACTCCGAAAAGAGAGAAAAAAAAGGCAACGTGTTATGAGTAGAAGGAGGAACAGTGAGGAGGATTAAAGGTGATGCTATAATACGTTGAAATTGAGAAGGAGGAAAGAACAACTCAACAATTTATGGCCTCCTCCATCTTGTGTTTCTAACTCGTGCAACGTCCCCATAAACTGGTCCCCCAAGGGAAGCAAAATCATATTCAAACACCTGTTGGGCCACCATTTGTGCGTCACCCATTTCCACCACATAAATTTAAAATAAAAAAAAAATTGAGATAAATGTGGTGTTGGATACCAACATTAGTACGTGGTCGTAGTTCTTAAATTTAGTTATATATAAAATATTTTTTTTGTCCAAACTTGTTTAAAATCTAATTGTGATGAAACTTTTAAATACGATTGCCTCAAGGTTTTTAAATAGATAATTAAATATATTTTTTGTGAAGGAAAATTTCATGCATTCAGAAAAATCTTTATTAGATATCTTTTAGATCGAATCCTCTACAATTTGGCAGCCTGCAGTTCATTTTTATTTAAACGAATGAGAAAGAAAAGAAGGCTAAAAGAAGGAGATGAGAAGGGAGAATGAAGAGAGGAGAAGAAGAGTTTCTTTTTTATTCAAACAAAAATGAAACTGCAGCTAATCCATTCTAGAGAAAAGTGATAAATTATAATATACCAACACGGGACGAGATGTATCAAATAAATAATACTACTGTTAAGCATTTATGAATCAAAATTGTTTTTACATAAATCCATCAAATCAAGTTATTTCTTGTGTTATTCTCCTCATTAATTAATGCTAAAGGTGTTGTTGATGGGTACTGTCAAATAAATCACTGTTCGGCACAATGAGGTTGCACATTTGTAAAACTGCACATTTGTTGTGTTAACCGCTTTTTTCCTTTTATTTTTGATGGTTGCATTGACTTCATTTTTGTGTGCAATTGAAACATTAGATAATGAATATATCGTTTAAACGAAATATTCATTATGTTAGTAAAATGAAGAAAATGAAACAGAAATAGGATTGTCTGGGAAGAAAGATTCCAAGGAAAAGAAAAGGGAGAATAACTTTCTGTTTAAATAAGTATATAATTTAATATATTAATGACATATTTATTATCATAAATAATATATAATCTTCTCAATTTAAAATCAGAAAATTGTCTTCTCCTGCGTTTAAAACTCCCAAATAATCCTTAAGAAAACAAGAAAAGAGAAAAATGCATGATTTGGTCATCTCAAGAGTTGTATTTTAAACAAGATCATAGCAAACCACATACGATGCATGCATAGGAAAAGAAAATGAATTGAAACCGTATGCATGAGTCAAAAAAGCATTTCTAAAACACAATTAATATAAGAACAAACACAAAAAAGCAATAAAAGAAGAGTGATTCAAACCTGGAATAGAATTGAAGGAGCCAGAAAGAGATGGTAATTGAAGACTTAGAGAATTTTAAAAATGGAAAAGAAAAATGAAAATGAAAAATATGAACAAGGAGAAGCAAGAGGTGGTCCTATAATACGGTGGTAGGGATAGCTGTTGAGGCGTTGAAGAAGGAAGGAACAGCTCACAAATGTTTATGGCCTCCTCCTTCTTGCGTTTCCATCTCATGCAACGTCCCCATAAAGTGCCTCCTCGACCCATTCACAACACTATTCTAACACGTGTTGGATCCTCATGCCTCTTCCTTTTCCACCACCCCTTTTCATCTCACCACAGATATGCTATTTCCTTCTCCCCTTTATCCCTTCTGTTAACCTCATCCTCTCGTATATTATTATTATTAATCACTGTTCTTCTCTTTTCAAGGAAACATTCATCCTTCACAATTACTCTATTCAAAAATGTTGGATAAATATGTATAAATGGATAATCTTGCGATTTTTATAACTTGCATATATAAAGATACGTAATGAACTATTAATAAATAATATTTTTTAAATTAATAGTTGTGATATTTAATATTATTATTTATTTTTAATAAAAATTTATTATATATAAATTCTTATTGTGTGTAATTAGTTATACATTAAAGAGAACTAATAATTAAAGTTTAAAACATGTCAATTTTATATAAAAGGGTGTATTTAATACATTATAATGTTTCCATAAAGATTATTATTATATAACTTTTATACTTAAATATTCTTTTATGCCTTTTATCTCATAATAAATTAATAAATTTAAAAATACTTGAAAGTGTTTATTCAATGAATAAAATTCATGTATATGAGCTAAATATTTCAAGTTCGATCAGCTTCTGTATTTTCATAAATGTGGAGCCTACACATGAGTTTTAAACTTACTAATTCAGAGCATGCATTATAATAAATATATCTCCAGCCTTTTCTACTTTACTCACTTTCACGTCACTTAAATTTATACTCTTAATTATTTAGCAAAATAATTATCCTTTTGTTTATACATTAATAAGATATGTGTTAGTATATATACGCGTTATGATTGTATGTTATGACTATATGTTTTTTAGTGTATGACATATTATTTTAAAAAACAAAGTATTTAAAATTAAGTTATTTTTATAAGAATATAATTATGTCTTCTAAATAATAAATATAACTTTGTACGGTATCAAATAAATGACTTAATTATAAGACTTTACTTAATAGTATTTTTAAAAGAAGAATGTTATTAACATACTCATAATTATTTATTAAAATTTATTAAAAATTATAATAATCATGTGAGTCTCACTTTAAATTAATGTCACTATACTAAAATCATGTTTCTCTCATAATTTTATTTAGTTTTTAATAAATTTTAGCCAATATTTAGAAGCGTGTTAAAGATGATGCATGTATTTCTCTTTCTTAAAATATCCCTAGTCAATAATAATAATAATAATAAACAATTATTATTATTATTATTATTATTATTATTATTATTATGTAATATGTTTAGATTAATGTGTAAGTGAATTGGTGGTTAGGTCTCACATGTTATGGATGTGAGATATCAAGTTTCCACACAAATATATATTAGGAGTAATGATATGTTAGATTGTTATATCATGAAAATATTGTATGAATTGTTATATAAGTATGATAAATGGTTTTAAAGGCAATAGTAGTACATGTGGTTCTTTTACGTGAGGTCACTAAAATTTTGACATGGTGAGTTTTATGTTTCAATCTCATCAAACATCACATATAACAAAGTAATCATAAAGTTAGAGATTAGATCTATAATAAATCATGAGGAAAATATATGAATAATATATATGGAATTTGCCTCTTATATAACAAGAGTAATATCTATAAAGCTTCGTGATAAAGTTAAAATACAAAATGTATAACCATGCTTAATAAAATAAATATGAGATATTTTTTTAAAAATATATACTTGTGTATCAAGAAAATAAAATTAAACTTTATAAAAGTGATACATTTCACGTCTTGTGTTCAATTAGATACAAAGATAAAGATAAATAGATTAATCGTATAATTTATATATTGTTAAATAAATAGTTTATATTAGTTTAGTAACATTCTTGATATTGAAAATAATGTATTGCATTTTTTATTCATTCATCTTCTCTCATTATTTCTTGCATTTGAATACTTTTTTTCTTAACTCTTCGTCATTGTTTGACTTAGGAGGGTTCTAGACTTATATGATTTTTGTATGTTATTCGTATTTAGAATCTTAAATTATTTTTGAACATAACAAATAATTTGAGATCAAGCTCTTCACCTTCTTCATCGCAGCTGATGATTAAGTGCTATAATAATATGTTGGTAACAAATAAATGTCACTTCTCACAAGCTCATATGTTTATACTTAATCTATATTTTAAATATTCATGTTTCAACTTATTATTGTTAGTATGTTACCTTTTACAATTCAACTTTACCTTAAAATTTAAGTAGCAAGTAAATAGTCACAATTCTAACTAACATGATTTTTTTTTTTTTTTATGGAAAAATAAGGAAATCAAATAACAAAAATTGAGAATGGAAAATTTGCAAATCTCGCAAGAAGGAATATTGTAAAATTTTGAAAGCTCAATCATATTGCTGCTCAAATTTTCTTTTAGAATTTTTTTTTCAATTTTTTTTAATCTTTTTTTTCTGTTTGTTTTATTTTGACATGAATAAGACTCAAAAGCAATGAAGATAACCCAAACTATTTTTTTATTTATTTTGTTTTAGATAAAAGAGCAATAAAATAAATAATACATGATGAGATAAGAATTGAAAAAGTAGTTTGAAACACAGGAAGTAGAGCTAAGAAACTTGACCTTACAAGGACATACTAGTAGAACTGAAGCTATCAATAAAAGTATGACTCTAATTACAATTTACGAGTAAGATCAATACTATTAGACAAATTTGTATTCAAGAATAAAAGATCATCTATCATAAAAGAGAAAATGCTCAAATTTCATTTAAATTGATTTGATTAATAAATTTATAATAATTCTTATTTATAGGTTAAGTGCAACTTTCTCAAAATTAAGTTTTGATTATTACAACTTGGATATAGAATGCTCTTTATCAAGCGGTTAAAATAAGTATGATAGTAGAATCATTATTTGTTATAATTATTATTAATCATGCCTCATAATGCTTGATTTCTTATCTTTATCTTAACTAATCGTTGGCCTTCTAATTCCATGTAAAAGATCTTTAGAAAGAATAGCTGGATCTTCAATATCTGATTCAACAGAAGCGATTGTTTTGTTGAAGGTACAAGCAATTGTGTTTTGCCATTTTGTTTTCTTTTCAGCAATGTGCCAAAAAACTTTAATTATTAAAAAAAAAACAATATAGCGTGTATTGTGATTTAAAATGTCATAATAAATTCAAAATTTTAATTTTGAAGTCGTGTACATTCATAGTACACACCCCATTTATTGAGAAATTTTCACATTTGTAGAGGTAAGAACTCTCCTGCAAGCACATTTAAAGTACTACAACGATATTTGCTGTCATAGAATATGAATAAATCATAAATGAATGGATTATTTCTTTCTATACACAATTGACAAAATGGGGCTACAATATTTACGGTTCATAATATTGCTCTATACATTTGTGCAGCCATCATATAAGCAGCTACGGCAATCTAACGAAATAAAAATAGCAGCAGGTCGTGAGAATAATGACAATTTCATCCAACAATTGCAAGCAAGCTTTGTCTGACAGCTGGAATCGAGCAAAGTATAGATCCAAATATACCATTCAGCGCATAAGCAATGGCACAAAATGGGAGAGCCTCAGGTTCCTTGGCAGACAAAGCTGCTGTTCCAAGCCCGTGGGCACTGTAAAAAGTATCGAGTCAAGAACAAGTAAATAACTATGCATGCATGCATGAAGAAAATAGCTTGATACTTGTATGATTCCCTATTAATACCGTTTCTACTTGTCCATCAGAGTACATAATTTGGGGACAAAATTTGTTAGTGACCATTAACTTAAGCTAGTAAAGGAAGCGTGGAATGCGGTGAAATTGGATCATAGAATATACCTAGAAGCAGTTGCTATTCCTCGAGCAATTGGATCACGAAATCTTAGTTTATCAAGAGTTGCTTGCACAAAATTTGCTCCAACCAGACCAGTTAATACAACCACAGCTGCTGTGAGAGAAGAATTGGCACCTGCAGACAGAAAAGAAATTTTAGAAGATAGAACTGAAGTACAAACGAATGCAATTTATGTTACAGCATCCCTTTCTGTGTGTGGGTGTACTCTTTAACGTTTAAACAGATTAAGACTGCATGATCCCAGATTTTCTCCATTAACTCCGATCAAATTCCTTCACAGACAAGATTATGGGGATAATGGTTACAATACGGGCATAATATTTACCGTCAAACAAAGACACAATGCTGAGGGCCAATGCCACTGTGATGCATCTGGGTAGAATGGACACGGTTAAAGATGGTTCTAATTGAACAAGCCGTCCAACAAGGGCAGTTGAGTACAGTGAGAATACTGTTGAGATGATGACAGAAGTGAAAATCTCAGCTGCATGTCTTTTCACAAGCTGGATATGATAGATGAAGAATGAATAGTTAATGATATAATGGTCTAGCTATTGATTATGGGAAGCGAAAAAAAAAAATTGTAAAGCGTGTTTTGCATTTGGGCACATATTATTGCTAAAGATTGGCAACTGGAACATTAGATGTGTACAAGGAATAGATATATTCACAGCTCTAGGCTGTTCGAGTTCGAAGTCATATACATTCAAGGAAAATCAAACACAAAATAGGCTAATGACTATTCCATTAGCAGAACTTATAAAAAAAAGTAATGGATAAAAAAATATGCTTTTAGGGTGTAGATGAGTTGAGCTACTCATATACTATTTGAGCTTGACTCATTAAAAGTTAAACAAACAAGCTCAAATTAAAAGCTAATCTTGATTCTTTAAATGATTCAAGCTCAAGCTTTGCAAGCTTGACATTAATAGTTCATATATATATATGCATACTTGTAGATAATTATAATTTCATTTATTATATTTACTTGAAATTTATATTTTTCATTGTTATCATCTTTTATATATATATTATTTACCTAATTTTTATTTTCAAGAGTTGTATTTTAAACGAGATCTACCTTTTTTTTTTTTCAAAAATATATATCATTTTTATAATAAAAGCTTTTATTTTTAACTTTAAGTCATCTTCATGGAAATAAAATTATATTTTATTACTATTTTACTTTACTTTTTAGCATTAAAAAAAAAATCAAATTTGTAAAAGAAATAAACAAATTACAAACAAGTTAATGAGTCATGTGAGCTACAAAATTTTTAATCAAGCTAAGCTCAAGCTTTAAATTTGGCTTGTTTAAATAAATGAGCCAAGCTTGAGCATTCCTATTTTATCATAAGCCAAACTTAAGCTTCAAATACCCTGTTTGACTTGACTCGACTCATTAGCATAACAAAGTTGAATTTCCTATCCAGAAGAAAACGAGAATAGAGATAACATCAAGGCAACCTTTTGGTACAATTTGCAGCACAAAGATACCTATAACCTCCTGCATCATTCATCATTCTTAGCCCAACCATGGTGGCCTAGCATCATGACCAAGGATAATGCAATATTGTTATTATGTGCGTGTACTCAAGTTTTATAAATGCTACTGCTGTTTCAAAATAAAGTTATTGTCATCAATTCACACTTTTAATTTTGAGGAGGCTGGTGAGGCTTAATGGTTGGAAGAAAAACATTGGCGTGAAGAACCAGTATGCATCACTTACAGAGCTACTAGTGCATATCATTAATTACTCACTAAATACATATCAAACATTGCCCAGATATAAGTATTACTGCAAATTGTCTAACATTGTAAAATATCAAAAGCAATTGAGTAATGAGAGCATACTGTATTCATCTGCTTTTCTTACAGCAGTAGGAGATTTATTTACTGGGAAATTTAGGTGGTTACCTTTCTTTGCTTAAACATAGAGAAGGAAAATGAGAGAATAACAGATCCCAAAAATCCCATTAAAATGTCACCAGCTCCAGGATTTGACGATGCCTTTGTAAGGTAATACCCTATGAATGTAGAAAGAAGAATCAACAGAAACAAGCATTATAAATGGAATTAATAAAAGAAATGCACAGGCAGAGGGAACCAGAGAGCAGAACCATATTGTGCTATGACAGAGCTAAAGAAAAATAGATTTGAAATCAAATGCCATGTGTACTTTCCATGCTACTACAGCTGAACAATTACAATTCCTAATTATTCTTGAACCAAAATCATTCCTTGTTGAATTGAAAAACTCATCTTGTTTGTTAATGATTTCAGGTTTCAGCTGCATCTGAGAAGCACAATGAACATGATTTGTGTCATGGTGGAATATATTACATGTGGGTGCAAGATAGGAAAATGGAAGCTTCTTATGTACTATTAAGTGCATAAATCCATAAGGGGCATGCATAACTTAGTAGCATTTAGCAGGGACTATTTTCTTTAAAATTATTGCACAAACTAGAATTTAAACTATTATGACTTAGGCTAAGCATGTTGTACAAAGCCTCTTCATATCTTGCATTTTGAACCTTTGTAACTTAGAAATTATTAATTTAACAATAGTGAGAAGCCGTTAAATTAAAAGTTTTTTACTGCATGAGTCATTGCCAGATAAACCTAATTGAATACCAAAAGGTGATTATTGATTAGGTTAAGTTCTGTCATTCTTAAAATAGAAAATTCCAAGGAAATGAAGAAAATAATGTGGCATCAAAATTCAAGGAATTAATGGTAGGTTTTCCTCCAAGAAGAACCTGACATTATGCTTAGTTGATACATGTTCTTAAAGAAATGCTTAGGAAAATTCATAGTATTAGAATTGTAAGCCACAACCAAAGTCTTAAAGGTAGGAAAATTGCTTCCCATACAAATGGATAAGTTTTCAACTTCCAAATAATCGTCCATTAAGCCATGTAAATTAATTAAGAAAGGAAGGACAATCTATAGGAGATGAATGAGGAAGGAAATCTCTACTATAAGAGTAAATAGCCAAAGCAAAAATTAGCTTGGGGAAGAAATAAATGAGATTTCTTTTTATAAAAAAAAATTCTCTTAAAGTATGTAATCAGGAGGGTTTTAGAGAATAACTCCCTCCAAGTAAGAACTTCCCCAGTAGTATCAACAGAGTACATATTAAAGCCAACACAACACTTGTAGTGCATCAAGGGTGCCACTCAGATTAATACAAGTTTATGGTAAGTTCATGAAATTTTGGGAGAGGAGCAAAGATTTTAAATGAATCAGCCCAAGTATGCCACCTGGTGTTGATTTAGAACAAGGCATATTGAAGAACAAATTTACAGTAAATGATCTCACCATCTCCCCCTTAATTGGAAAGGCTAATCATAATAAGTTTTTCTTTTACTACCCATGCTAGGACAAGATTGTCGCAGATATCGTCCTAGGGTTCTAGCTTTTATCTATATAATTCTATTTGCGCTAACAATTATTTCCAATGGCTCTATTGAACATATCATGTTGACTATAGTGATTCAAGTGCTCCAATAACATGACATCGTAAAATGGACCTTAATATAAAATCAAATGTTTATAGGCTCCTTCATATTCATACATAATAAGTAAAAACTTATGTAAGTTACAACTTACAACAGATTTATGTCATCACATACATAGTATCTTTTGATATATTTCCCTCACACTCTCTTGTTACATAAAACAGAAAAAGCCCTTTAATGATACAACTTTACAGTATTATAATCATCAGGCTATACATCAAACCAAGTCAGTTGAGCTTAGCTGAAGATTACCTTAACCATGCAGAAAGTCATTTGGATACCTCATTATCGTAGTAAAAAGTTTTACAAACCTGATTGGAACAGTAAACAGTTCACTACTTGTTCTCAACTTACCAGCAGACATCAAATGCTTGTCATAAATCATATAGTACCTATGATTCTAAAGTCAGAATAACTTTTGAACTGGTAATTTTGAACTCAAGTTTCTTTCCCTGGCTGAAGTTAGCAACTAATTTCAGAACAATTTACATGATATGGTAATTAAATAGTTATTTTCTAATAATACCTAGAACAGATTCAAGCCCTGACTTGGAAAGATATCCAAAAGCTAATGCCGTCAGGTCTGCTGATAATGCACAGCAAATTATTGGATGGAAGACCTTCTTCACATTTGACGGAAACCTGGAAACCAAAAAGTAGCAAGAATGAATGAAGTTCTAGCAAAGATAAAAATTGCAAATTTAATTATCTGTAATAAAATTTTATTAGAACTAGCATGTGATATAAGAATATTCTTTTTCTGTTCTCATTAAAAACTCCCACACTAATAGGAAAAATAAACTGTCAAAGTGTATATACACAAGTGAAAAGGAAAATATTTACCCAGAGCCAACCATGTAGCCTAACACTGTGGCTGCAAGCAAAAATGGAAGACATGTTCTAGCACTTGTCCCCAATGCTGTTGGGTAATATAATGCAACCACAAATGATATAAGGAGAACAGCACTCCACGTCCACACTTCAATGGGAGAAAATGGAGCTGGCTTTCCCATAGGCTCAGCATCTACCATTTCTGTATTCACAGCTTTTCTTACCGCTATGGCTGTGAAACCAGCAACACAGAGTGTAGCCAGCCATCCTCCAACTGATCAACATTACAAACATTAGCAATCAGACATAAAAAGTGAACTAACACAGGCCCATCATACAAGAGACGCATATTTTGGAAAGAAAAAGGTGTAGACAAGCAAATTTGTCATTTGAGAATATAAAACATTATACAACTTTTTTGAAAAGGATATTGAGATTATTTAGTAATTATGAACAAAATAATCAAATCAGTCCCTAAAAAATACAGTGTTAATTATATTAATCCTAAATTATGAATATTGCACCCAAGGTCCTAAATGTGCATTTCATCAATCACAGAAGTCCTTGACTGTGTTCTAACGATCAAATCCATCCCTGAAGTCTCTAATATAGGAACTAATTTGACTGAAAAAAAAATTATATTTAGAGATAGATATTGTTAGAACCAAGAAAATCTGAAATTACTAATTCTCATTGTTTTGATGACAGCATAACACTAAAACATATATGAAGTCATGATGAAGCATTAGACGATACTAAGAATAAGGAAAAACAGTCTTTTTTCAGGCACTGCACTTCAGAAGACCATGTTTTTCCCAAGACCATCAGTGTTAGAGTCAAAGCTTTTAAAATCAGAAAAAGATGAACAAAAGACTGAATAATTCTGACAATCTTTATTAATGCCTTGAAAAGAATAGGGATTCAAGGATTCCCCTAGAGCTAACAGCTCCCTGAACACTGAACAGTATTTCCTCTCAGTATTTCTCTACAAAACCAAAAACATAATCCCCTCCTATCCCTTCTAACTTTATTTAAAAGGTATTAACAAATAACAACTAACTAACTAACCGTTGACTCCTTCCTTCCTTTCCTCCTAACATATACTTTCCATACTTTAGATTTCCTATTAGTGTCAATCATTTGTTCTTCTTCCCTGGTCCTAACACTACCTCCTCCCAAAGTACCAGCCTTGTCCTCAAGGCACAAATGAGGAAATTGATGTTGTAGGGCAAATTCATCCTCCCAAGTGGCTTCATCAACAGGGAGACCCTTCCAATGAACTAAAAACTGTTTAACTGTCTTTCCCTCTGCTGAAATTATGCGACTAGATAACACTGCTGCAGGTTCTGCCAATTCGTCGGATGTTAAGTCGTTAGGAAGCTCAGTAGAAGAATCATATTGCCCAATAGCCCTTTTAAGTTGAGAGACATGAAAAGTAGGATGGATCTTAGAAGTTATGGGCAACTGTAATTTATAAGCAACACTTCCAACCTTTTGCAAAACCTGATAAGGACCAAAAAATCGAGGGGGTAGCTTTTGATGAATACGATCTGCGAGAGACTGTTGTTTGTGGGGTCGTAACTTGAGAAACACCCAATCTCCCTCAGCGAATTCTAGTGGCCGTCGATGTCGATCTGCATACTTTTTCATCTGCTCCTGAGCCCTTTGTAAGTGACCCTTAAGCTGTTTAAGGGCCTCGTCCCTATCTTTTAGTTCCCTTCCAACTGCTTCAACTCAAATTTCTCCTTCAACGACTTTAGGAATTGAGGGAGGACTGCGACCATAAACTGTCTCGAAGGGGGTTGTTCCAAGAGATGAATGATAAGTTGTGTTGTACCATAATTCCGCCCATGGAACCCATAAGGACCAATTCTTAGGTTGATCCAAAGCGAAACAGCGCAGATAAGTTTCCACACAGCGGTTAACAACTTCTATTTGCCCATCGGATTGAGGGTGATAAGCCGTGCTTAGCTGTAGCTTAGTACCTTGGAGAGCAAATAATTCTTGCCAAAAGTGACTTATAAATATTGGATCTCTGTCACTAAGGATAGAAGAAGGGAGGCCATGTAAACGAACAATCTCCCGAGCAAAAATTTCTGCTATCCTCTTAGCTGTATAGGGATGTTTCAAAGGAATAAAATGTGCGTATTTGGTTAGTCTATCCACCACCACCATTAAAGCATCAAACCCCCTGGACTTTGGCAGTGCCACAATAAAATCCATGGATATTTCATCCCAAATTAAAGAAGGTATGGGCAAGGGTTGCAGAATTCCAACAGGAGAAATTGCTTCATACTTGTGTCTTTGGCAAATATCAAAAGCCTTAACAAACTCTTTGACCTTCTTTTTCATTCCAATCCAATACACATTCCCTACTAAACGTTTATAAGTTCTGAGCAAACCTGAATGCCCACCTACAAGGGAAGAATGAAACTCATGTAATAACTGAGGGATCATAGAAGAGGTAGTAGAAAGCACCAATCTGCCATAGTAAAACAGGATGCTCCCCCTGAGGACATAACTAGGTTTGGAGCTTGGGTCTTGAATCAAATGTTGGATGATTTCTTGTAAAATGGAATCCTGCATAACTTCTTTTTGTATTACAGAAGACTGTTGCCATTGAGGGAAATAGATTGCGGTTGATAAAGTTGCTAAATTTTTTGCATCCCCTTTTTGAGATAAGGCATCAGCTGCCTTATTAGTTGGACCAGGTTTGTAAATTACCTCAAATTGAAATCCCAATAGTTTGGACACCCAACACTGTTGATCTGCTGAAATTACTCTCTGCTGCAACAAGTGTTTTAAACTACGTTGGTCTGTATAAACAAAGAACTTTTTCCCCAATAGGTAATGCCTCCAATGTAGGATGGCAAGAACCATAGCCATCAACTCCTTTTCATAAATTGATTTAGCCAAATGTCCTTCAGACAAGGCCTTGCTGAAATAAGCAATTGGCTTACCCTGTTGCATAAGAACTGCACCGATTCCGCTGCCAGAGGCATTCAATTTCATAACTTTCCTCAAAATTAGAAAGAGATAAAACTGGGGCTGTCACCAAAGCTTCTTTTAACAAATTAAATGCCTTTTCTGCATCAGGCCCCCACTTAAACCCATCTTTCTTAGTCAACTCAGTTAGAGGTTTAGCAATCTTCCCATACCCACCTATGAATCTTCGGTAATACCCAGTCAAGCCTAAAAATCCTCGTACTCCTTTTACATTTTTAGGAATGGGCCACTCTAGAACACTCTCCACCTTGCTTCGATCCACATGTACCCCATCAGAAGAAATAATATGTCCTAAGTATTCAATCTGCCTTCTTCCGAAACTACGCTTTCCTTGGTTGGCCACGAATTGATGCTCTTCTAACACTTGCAAGACACGGTCCAGATGCCATATATGTGAAGCCCAATCCTTACTATATACTAGGATGTCGTCAAAGAATATAAGCACAAATTTTCGCAAATATGGGCGAAAAATCATGTTCATTGTAGACTGAAAAGTAGGAGCGTTCATTAATCCAAAAGACATAACCCGGTATTCATAGTGCCCCTCATGAGTTCTGAACGCAGTCTTCAATATGTCCTCTTCTTTCATACGAATTTGGTGATTAACCGGATTGTAAATCTAATTTAGAGAAGAAATTAGATCCGAATAATTCATCTAACAGTTCTACAACTATAGGAATAGGGAACTTGTCGGAAATGGTGATGGAATTTAAAGCTCTGTAATCCACACACATTCTCCATGTGTTATCTTTCTTTTTAACCAGAATGACTGGGCTAGAAAAAGGGCTGGAACTGTAACGAATCACCCCTTGCTTCAACAATTCTTGGACTTGCCTTTCAATCTCGTTTTTGTGATGGTGAGGATATTTGTAAGGCCTGACATTGACTGGTTCTGCTCCCTCTTTCAAGGTGATTATATGCTCTGTTGATATCCTTGGGGGAAGACCATTCAACTTTTTGAAAACGTTCTTATGATCCTCTAAAATTTGCTGTAGATCATGATGTTGTTCAGCTAACAAGTCTGCAGCAACTCCCCTTTCTTCTTGATCTAATTTGGACCACGACATCCCATCCATCAACGGCGTCGTACTACCAACCAAACTATAGAGAGGAGCCTGACCATCCTTCATTTTTCTCTGTTTTCCACTTTCCCCGGAGCCCACTCCTTTAAGTTCAACCATTTATTCCTTCCACAAAAACTGCATCGACATATCTCTCCAATCCACTGTCACGGTTCCCAAGGTCTTAAGCCATGTCATCCCTAAGATAACATCTAATCCCCCAAGATCCAATACGTGCGCATCTAAAGTCATTTCATTGCCATCCAGCTGTAAAGGAATCTGTGAACAGAATCCTCTAGAATGTATTAAGTGTCCATCTCCCAGCCTCACCCTGAATTTGGGCTCCTCATTCACTTTTAAGCCCAAAGAAAGGACCACTTGAGGAGCCACAAAATTTTCACTTGCTCCGCTGTCCACCAAGAGCACTACAGGGACTCCCATTAACAGCCCATTTAATTTCATTGTTTTTGCCCCATTTGGACTTCCACCCGCGAGGCCCAGCAAGCCCATTCCTCGACACTCTATCTCCCTTCCCTCTTCCTCAAATCCATCTCCCCCTACCTGGCGCGCCGCTGGGCCAGCTGATCCAGACCCGTCGTCTTCCTTGTCTTCCTCATCTTCTGCCAAAATTGTCAAGCGCAGAGACCGATCTTTACACTGATGCCTTGGTCCGTATCTTTCTCCACACTTAAAGCATAAACCCAGCCTTCGTCGCTCCATCATCAACTCATGGGGAAGATGCTTCACGCCCCTGCTACGATTGCCACCGTCACCTCTTACCACCCCAGAGTGCGCCGTTGCTAAAGGACCCGAATAGGGACCTATGGTAGGATTCTTAAATCCCTGGATACCTGAGTGACCCCCTGAACGCCCAAGATCTTGCTGAACAGAGATAGAAAAGCTTCTTCTTGGATATCCGAAAGTCAGCGTTCCCCCTCTGTAATTTTTGTTCCGTATAAAAGATGACTCACCATCTTTGGCCATCTCAGCTTCAATACCTCTCGCCAAACGTATAGCATGACGCCTAGTTGGTGGATCCAGAGTACGTACCCGCAATCTGATTTCGTCTTTCAACCCTCCAACAAAATACCCAAGATATTGAGTCTCAGGCAGCCTTGGAACCTGAGAGGCTAGAGCTTCAAACGCTTCAATAAACTCTTCCACAGAACCTTCTTGCTTTAGTAATTTCAATTCCTCAAAAGGATTATCCAAACGATCACTCCCAAACCTAACAATCAAGGCCTGTTTTAGATTGTACCAAGTTGGTTCCTCCTCCTCATGCCATAAATTGAACCAATGAATTGTGGTCTCCTCCATACAAATCTTGGCCAACTTTACTTTCACGGCCTCACTGGTACCGTGCACTTCAAAGTAAGTCTCTGCTCTACATATCCATCCAACAAGGTCAACTCCATTGAAGGCAGGTAGTTCCACCTTCTTAGCAGAAGATCGAAACTCTGCGTCAATGTTTCCTTCCTTGGCATTATCGTCATTCAAACTTACATCCCTTTCGCCCCGCGACTCCATATACGATTGATCTTCCGTCCCCTCAGCAGTACTTATCTTGTGAATTTCTTTCAACAATTCTTGCTGCGTGACGTTCATCTCCTTTATTAATTCAGACAACGTTTTCTGCGATACCTCGATGTTTTGAATCCTAGATTCAAGAACATCCACCCTCTCGTTCATTCTTGTTGGCATGGGAGTAATTGAATCCGGCAGGTCAGACCAATTGTCAGGGTCAAAGCTTTTAAAATCAGAAAAAGATGAACAAAAGACTGAATAATTCTGACAATCTTTATTAATGCCTTGAAAAGAATAGGGATTCAAGGATCCCCCAGAACTAACAGCTCCCTAAACACTGAACAGTATTTCCTCTCAGTATTTCTCTACAAAACCAAAAACATAACCCCCTCCTATCCCTTCTAACTTTATTTAAAAGGTATTAACAAATAACAACTAACTAACCGTTGACTCTTTCCTTCCTTTCCTCCTAACATATACTTTCCATACTTTAGATTTCCTATTAGTGTCAATCATTTGTTCTTCTTCCCTGGTCCTAACAATCAGTTGAACCATATGAAGATTGTATATTGGACCAACCAATCAAAAGACCGTCTGAAGAATCTATGCTTCAGAAAGGTATTTATGATAATCTTTTCAAGAGTCGCACTCAAAGTTCTCAACACGTATGTATGAAGATTATATTGGACCAAACATAACCGACAATTGTCTAAATGTAGCTATTTTTCCAAGTCAGTGAAAAGTTAAAGACAAAATAAAACTCAGTTCTATCTCCTTTCTTGTGTGAGTCTTTTTTGGCTTAATTGCACTTTTGGTCCTTATACTTTAACATATGTGTGATTTTGATCCCCCTAGTTTATTAAATGCAAGATTTTGGTTCCCCTAGTCTTATTTGCTCATATTTAAGCCTTATAGTTTTTTAAATGTGTGATTTTAGTCTCGCTAGTTTGAATTGATCACGTTTAAATTTAGTCTCTCTAATCCTCTATCCCAAAATTTTATCCAATAATTAATAAAAATATAATGAAAGTATAACATTGTATTGATTTATACAAATAAATAGAGAAAAAATATACAAAATATTTAAATAAAAATACAAAATAAAATGTACAATATATAAAAGTCTTAAAGAAGGACTTAATTTGGACATTTGAAAAATTAGAGGGACTAAATATGAGAAATTAAAACGAGAGAAAAATTGCACATTCTAAAAACTAGAGAAACTAAATGAATGTGACCAATTAAAATTGGGGGGGGGGGGGTCAAAATTGCACATTTGAAAAACTAGAGGGACTAAATGTGAGCAATTGAAATTAAGGAGACCAAAATCACACATAAGTTACAGTATAGTTACCAAAAAAATAAAAATAAAACCTTTTTTTGCATTTTCTTCTTTTAAGATATAATTTTCTTTATTTCAGAGACTAATTTATTAATTACTCAATCTAATTTTCTACGAGCTACATAGTCAAATATTAATAAATAGCTAACTGAACCAAAACCAAACCAAACAAATAAAAGATGCCCTAGCTTCCGGCACCATAAAAGATGCAGACTCGGAGCAACTTAACCAAACCAGCAATTAATAAATCAACAAAACAAAACTACATAAACAACAAAAGAATTGCAAATAGTAAATTCTCAAATTAATCCATGAAATTATAAATAGACTTTATTAAGTTTTTGCTTCTTTAAAAAATTGTACAATTTAGGCTTAGTTCCTATAGAATATTTTGTTAAGGTATAGTCCTTACTTTTCTACAAATTATTGTCTCTAGTTGTCTCTAGTCCCTCTATCTGACATAGTCTGTTGAGATACCACCAAGTATTAGTTTTCGGTTGAACCACGATTGCCAGATGAACTCAAAATAATAGTTTGCGAAAAAGTAGAGATTTTACAAAGACTAAATCCAAATTATACAACTTTTGTACAACCGAACACTTAATTAAGCCTTATAAATATTAGTCAAATTTTAAAACTCTTATTTAGTCCCAAACTTTAGAAGAGGTGATTTCACTGTCGTCCCTTTCTCCTTTATTTTTACTTCCACCATAAAGACTAAAATAATCACATTTTGTGATATAGCAACTAGAGAATTAGAGTTCAAAACTAATTTGGGAGTTAACTTGAGATGTCAACGGTGAGAGTTCAGAGATGCAGCAACAAACCTAAAATAAGGCCAATTTTGATGCCAGAAGCAGCGGGAATATCTTTAACAGAAAGGGGCAACACAACCAAAGAGGGAACATAGAACAAAGGGAGCCATCTCTGTATGAACATAAAAGCCGGCTCGAAGAAGCTCATCAACGCCGTAGCCGCAGATGGCACGGTGGAGTCAAGAATCATCAAAACCGAGAATATACAGAACATCCCAAACAACGCGCTCGGGAATTTAATCGCAGCATCTACAAACGCTTTCTTCAGAAACTTATCCGCTGCCACAATAAGCCCCAAAGACACAACCAAATGGAATGCCCCAAACACCTGAAAAGAAAAACGCAACAGTCATCGAATGAGTGACACGTGGAATGTTAGAGAGAGAGAGAGAGAGTCACGGTTTGGCTCAGCGTCGTGGAAGTGCTTCCGGTTTCCGCTTCGGATGATTTTGTTGACACGAGTCTGCTTCTACGGTTTCCATGGTGAGTGCGAGTGCGTGAGAGATTGGGAAGGAAGCGGGTGGGTGTCGCTGAGTTGTGCGAAACGGGGCGTTTTGGGAGAGCATTGACAGTTGAATTAGGAAAGAGCGCGCGGGGGTGGGAGAGAGAGGGTGGTTTAAGTTTGAGAAGTGAAAAGGGTAAAGTGTGCGTTGTGGTAGCCATTGAAAGAAGGGAGAGGGAGAGGGGAAACGAGTTCAAAGCATAGAACATCTACATTTTTGTGGGACCTGTGTGTGTGTGTGTCTATGTGGGGGAGAGAGAGAGAGAGAGAAATTGTATGGCCAAGAAGCTGTGCTGGTGATCAATGGGATGGGATGGGATGAGGTACAAGTTTACGTCCATAAAAGTTCAATGGCAATTTTTTGTGAGAAAACTACACTGATTGTCTCATCATTGCAACAATAATTTCATTATTTAATCTTTTTCTTTAAATATTACACGTGTCAATTGGATAAATAAATTAGGTTAAGAAGATAAAGTAATATCTTTTAATGTTTATTTAACTGATAAGTTTGACATATAAATTTATTTTTTAATGTAAATTTATCTTATAAGAGATATATTAAAGCTAAATAATATATATATATATATATATATGGTGACAGAAAACAAACAAATATATGATATATATATATATATATATATATATATAACTGTTAACTGTTTATAGCTATGTTCTTCTGGATCTGATTATTAAATTCCTTTATGAAATTTCTGTAACTATAGTTTATAGGCTGGACAGCTGACAGGCCCTTCGGGTGAGACCAGTTATGGTCGTCCCTGTCTGTAACAACGCCACGAACTAATGGTTCTGAAATATTGCTTTTGTATAGTTCCATGTTTTATGAAAATCTTTTACTGGAAGTACAGCAGTTCTTCGTTCTTTTGAATAGGGCTGTAGCAGTAAGTCCCGTATAGTTGAAAGGGCAGTAAGGCTAATTTGACGATGCTGTATTCAAAAGGAACTAAGAACATAAGAAGCTGGTGGATATTGTGAAAGAATTTTTCAGAATTTTGTAAGCAAGTTTAAAAAAAAAAAAAAAAGTCCACAAATAACCAGATCTAGTTGAACAAGTTATGAATAATTAACAGATGTATTGTTACGGAACCAGATGAGGGTGATGAGCCAGATGTTTTTATATCATGTCTAGACTTTTACGCTCTTTCTCTCGCATTTCCTTTCGCTCTGGTTCTAGTTCTTCATCCTCCTCTCCCACTAAAACCAATCTCTTTGATGACCAGGAGAAACATTCTCCTGAAATCACACCCAAACACAATCTCTTTGACGAAGAAGTTCGTTTTGAAGAGATAAATCAAAGTATGGATGACTTGACCATCCCAGTCATTCCTCAGGATACATTATATGTTCCTGAAGATCAACCCAAGAAAAACAGTTCTGATTATATTATCAAGACTGTTGAAAATAATATCCCTTTAGGAAAAGGTATAGGAGAAGAATTTCATCTCCTGTCTAAATCCTCCCTCAACGATCATAAGAGAAAATACAAATACTTTCACATAGGATGTGTTCAGGTAGCAATTAAACCTTTGATAGACATAGGCATAGATGCTGCTGTCTTAATCTGTCTAAGAGATATTCGTCATAATAAGTTTGATGATTCTCTTATAGGAACAGTTGAAACCAGTCTCGGACAAGGTCCTATTTATTTTAACTGTTTTCCTAACAAAACTGTGAGTCTTATGGATGAACACATTCTAGACTCCTTGTTTCTCAATATTTGCTTTCATGGGTTAGACATGAAAGAGGGATCTATTCCCGCAGCTCTAATCTATAGGATTCAGTATAAGGTCATGAACTCTTGTGCTTCTAGAGTCCTTCTTAAGCCTCAAAGAGGAGAAACTACTTTGTTTATCACTGATATGACAAAGGCTAATGTTTCTCTACCAAGAATTATCAAATGGGATGAAGTTACTCTCCCAGAAAAATGGGTTATGGATAAAGCCTCACCCAGTGTTCCTCGTCCTGCTCCTCAAATACAGGATATCTCACAGGACAATTCTGGGAAGGTTGAAATAACCTTTGACAGGAGAAACTCTTTCTCCTCAAGGATCGATGCTTATAGTAATCGATCTGACTTTGTCTCTGCTAGAAGATCTTTTTCTTCTAGATCTTATATTAGGCCTAACATTCCTAGGTCTGTAAATCATGATCCCTCTCTAGATCTTCAAGGTTTAGATACTTCTTCTAGGATTCCTAGAAATGTTTACCAGACTTCTGAAAAAGAAGACGAAAATCAGAGTATCCAATCTCCAACCTACTCTTCCCTTAATGAGTCTTATGATGTTATTTCATAAATTTATTATAGATAAGGAAACCCTTAGGAAAGATTTCTACTCTGAGGATTGGAAACCTCAAAGAGAGTGGTTCTTTCAAAATTATAAGGGAAAAAATAGATCTGATATCCAAGAGAAATTCTACCAATTTCTCGAAAAAGTCAAACAAAACATCACATTCTTTGATTGGTATCATGCTTATACTATTCATAATAATATTGATAATCCCTGGCAAGAGGATGTCATTAGTACCTCCTCTGCTAATGTTATATCCTGGCAAATCAAAGACGGACAAATAGTCCAAAGTGATTTACCACCCACATCTCAATACCAATTACCTAATTTGAAAGACAAAGGCGGTAACCCTGTTACTGCCACTCCTTTTAAGTCAAAAAACCCTGAAGAATCTATCACTCCTCATGACATCCAAGGCCTCATGGAACAGGCCAATTATACCAATAAATACCTTCAGGTTTTAAGAGAAAAAATCTCTGTTAATCCTGTCAAACCTAAAATTGAAGAAGTAGCTTCTTCATCCTCCCAACCACAATTAGAAAAACCTCTATTTAAACCTTTCAAGATTAGTGCCAAAGCTAAGCAGAAAATCTTAGAACTTAGGCAAAAAGAAAAAGCCAAAGTTAACGAGGAAAACCAAAATGAGTTGCTTAGTAAAATTACTAGTCTCCTCACTATCATTCCTGACACTCCTCAGCCCTCTGAAGAATCTAGTGCTAAACCCAGAACTAGGTCTCTTGCCAAAACTGTCAATGCCATTTCCAAAGCTGACTCAGAACATTGTTCTGAAACAGATTCTGTCTTAGCCATCAATCCTATCAACAATTGGAAAAATTCCTCCAAGCTTTATTATAATAGAGCCACTGCTCCTGACCTTATTTTAGAAGAAAAACAAGATTTTATTCAAAGCTTTAATTCTAATGATATTTATATTTGGAACATTGATGGATTATCTGAATATAATATCATTGCTAAACTTCAAAATATGTCGGTTGTCGCTATGGGCTATTTTACTAATCAAAATATGCCTGAAGACACCATTGTCTATATTCTCATTGCCGGTTTTACTGGCCAACTCAAAGGTTGGTGGGATAATTATCTCACTGAAGCTGATAGAGATAACATTCTCTCTGTAGTCAAAATTGATGATAAGGGGAAAACCATTGTCAGTGACAATGAGCGGCTCCCTGATGCTGTGTATACGTTATTATACACAATATCCCAACATTTCCTGGGAGATCCTTCTCTTTGGAGGGAAAGATCAGGAGAGTTACTTTCAAACCTTAAATGTGATTCCTTAGAACATTTCAAATGGTATAAAGATACCTTTATGTCTAGGGTCCTAACCAGAGAAGATTGTAACCAAGCCTACTGGAAAGAAAAATATCTAGATGGGCTTCCCAAAGCTTTCGGAGATCTTATTAGAAGTAAACTCCGAAGTCGTTCTCCTACTGGAGAAATTAATTATGATAATTATGATTATGGACAGCTTACTGCTATCATTATCCATAGTGGTATTAAGGCTTGCCAGAAGGATAAACTCCAGAAACAGCTGGCCAAAGAAAAGGCCTTAAGCAAGAAAGAATTAGGTTCTTTCTGCGAACAGTTTGGTCTTCCATCTTGTTCTCCCAACAAGAAGAAACATGTCCCTAAGAAAGAGGCTGTTGAACCTTACAAAAAACCTTACAAGCGTAGATATAACAGGAAACCCAATCCTAAGAAGCAAGGGGATAATGTCATCCCCACCAATATTCCCAAAAAACCTAGAACAGGCATAACCTGTTACAATTGTGGCAAACCTGGCCATATTAGCAAATACTGCAGGTTAAAAAAGAAAATTAGTAGTCTTAATTTGGAGCCTTCTTTAGAAGACCAGATTAACAATCTCCTGGCTGGCACTTCTGATGAAGATTCTGTTAAAGAATCTGAGGAAGATGTCAACCAAATTCAAAATGACGACCAAGCTTCCTCTTCTAATAGTGATGATACTCCAGAAGTCAATGTTTTAACAAAAGAACAGGATCTTCTTTTTGAAGCTATAAGTTCCATCTCGGATCCTCAAGATAGAAAAGAATTTTTAAATAAATTTAAGGAGGTTTTAGAAAACAAGCCTAAACCCAAAGAATATTTTACTTCAAACAAATTCGATATTACAAATATTTTCAAAAGAATAGAAAAGAATTCTAGTATTAAACCAATCACTATTCAAGATCTCTAGATTGAAATAAATAATCTTAAGAAAGAGATCAGAGAAATTAAAGATCAGCAACAAATTCATCAAGTTATTCTTTCTCAGTTAGATGATGAATCGGATATTGAAAAAGTAGAACTTCCTGAAGATAATGATTCTGCAAAGGTTGATTCTGATAATTTAGAAGAAACCTTTATGTGTTTGATTAACAAAGTCAAAATACAAAAATTTTACATTAACATCAGAATCGTTATTGATGATTTTGTTCTTAATACTTTAGCTCTTTTTGATACAAGTGCTGATTCAAACTGTATTTTAGAAGGATTAATTCCTACCAAATATTTTGAGAAAACTTCTGAAAAACTCAGCACTGCTAGTGGTTCAAAGCTCAAAATTAATTACAAACTTTCCAAAGCAGTAATTGAAAATCAAGAACTTAAGATTGAAACAAACTTTCTTCTTGTAAAAAACTTAAAAAATGAAGTTATTTTGGGAACACCTTTCATAAAGGCTCTTTTCCCCCTGCAAATTTCGAAAGATGGTATTTCCACTCGACATTTAGGGAAACAAATAACCTTCAAATTTTTTAATAAACCTTTTACAAAAATATTAATTCTATTCAAAACAAAATTAATCAGATCAATTTTCTAAAAGAAGAAGTTTCTTTTGCTAATATTGAAAAATAATTACATAATCCTTCGCTTCAAAAGAAAATCCAATCTCTTTTAAACAAAATCCATGCTTCTATATGTTCTGACCTACCCAGTGCTTTCTGGAATAGGAAGAAGCATATTGTCAGTCTCCCTTATGAAT